CTCCGATCCGGCTCTGGGATTGGCTCAATACTTGGCGAAGTTGTAACATCGTTACAAGTAGGATAATTATAATAGCACTACTATTCCTTTATGCACTGCTATCTTAGATAGCTAGCCTTAGCAGGATAGCACATTACGTAACTCTAAGCCCCGCAATGCCCATTACCTTCTAACGTGGACGTGGTTGGTCTCCTACCTCGTCGTTCCATGTCAAGGGGAGAATCCTTCTTGTTACTTGTAACAACTTAATCTATGTTTTACCAGTTTAAGCAAAGAAAAAGATGACCATTCTCAAGTAGTGCCTATTAGGGTACTCCTTTAATTGAGATTTTCATTGTTTTGCGTCAATCTAGAAAGTCTAGACGCAACACTAACTCGGCCTAGAATAAGCGTAAAAGGGAAACGTGGAGTGAGGCCACCAACCATGGCCATTGTCACACTGCATATGACAAACATAAAGTCGTCGTTTTGTTTCTAGGATATTCGATCCCTGTGGCTTAACAGAGAGCGTGTGTTGCAGGTGAGGGCTTAGCTATAATGAATAGCAAATTTAGTAATGGAGCATTCTCTACAACAAGTCTTAAGAAAGAGGGAGCTTTGATTAAGCAGAGAGTGTTATACAATAGGTGACGTGCACACGTAAGATGATAGCTGTGGGCAGGGGATAAAATCGGATTTTTAGGAGCTGTGCAGTCCATGTAGTCTATGCAGGCTGGAAGCGTATTCAATCTTCATGTAGGCTGGGCCAAGGTCCTTGAAGGCTTCGTCGACTACTTACTTAATCAATCACTGGCTGTCTCAACTCTGTCGCTACCGTTGCCAGCACCACTATAGAGCGAGCGCTAAGATTCTGAAGCAGCAATTTCAACGATGCCTCTAGAGTTCATTTCTAGTAGCTGTGTCGCAAAGGGAGGCTAACTTTCACGAATCATGTATTCTACAAAAATCAGGTACTACTCGGGAACTTTGTGATGAGTAACTATAATTCTACATGACACTCTGACAGATGGACAAAGGCGTTTTAGAAATTGCATTGCAGGTTACAACTAACACTCGCGCTGCATGGGCATGAATATGGTCCAAGTAGACCAGATGCAAGGCATAGTGTAACGTATGGGGGAGCTCAGGTCCAGGTTATTTTCATGTTGAACATGTTGCCGTGAGTGGGCCAAGGGGAGTGACTGTGGGTACAACGGTGAGTGGTGATCCGATGCGTTGGCGAAACGTTGTAAAAGCGTTGGGCAAGGCATGCAAAAAAAAAAAGCGCATAAGCGCGACAAGGGCTCGAGTAATGGAAAGAGCAGAGAAAAGAAGAAGATGCGGTCAAGTTGACGCGCCAAGATATGACCTGTTCGCATGGCGTTGTGGCCAAGGATGAACCATCAGCCGCATGTGTCGATCAAACACGCCTCAATACATAAACAGAATGAGGTAACCTGTGGCTCCAACGCTGCGTTCACAAGCTCGGCATAGCTTGTTTTTGTTGCAGCCGAGCGTGTGTTCACCTCGTCGATTACACATGGACAAGCAAGGTCAAACTACGTGGGCTGGACGTCAGATAAAACAAAGCAAAGACAAAAAGCAAACCAGGCAGAGCATCAGTATGTGATGTTTGGCGCGGTCATGGCGAGTATCTCAACAAGAAAAAATAAAAGAAAAAAAAAACCAGAGGTGGTTGTCGCATCGAACATGGGTCAGCGCTAGAAGAGTCGGAGAAACGAAACGGACGGCACGGGACGGCACGGGTCCAGGAAGATTATGTGCGCGGGTAAAGGCAAAAGTCGACGACGGGGGAAGGAAAGGAAAGGAAAAAACGGGTGGATGGAGTAATAAGGGTAGGCAGTGTGAAAGGATTGGAGGCAGGGAGGGCGAGATAACGATGGCGTGTTTGTTGGTTGGACGGGCCATGGGGATTGGGGACCCATTTTTGCAATATGGCGGCGGCAGCAAGAGGCGGAGATTTCGGTTCAGTTCTAAGGACAGGGGGCGGACATTATGATCGCTTTGCGGCGGATGGGAAGGGGGTTTGAGGCTGATTGTGCCTGGCGTAGTGGCAGTGGTAGTGGTAGTGGTAGTGTGGATGCAACGTGACAGGGAGAAGCGAGTGCGACGACGCTAGAGGGCGGGTGAAAGGGAACGGAATGGAAATGGACATGTCCATGGCATGGCGGCGATGCATGGGCGTCTTTGCTTGCACGCTTGCCATGGGCTCCATATGCTGACCTGTGAGGGGGGATATGTCTTTTTTTTTTCTCCTTGGAGGCGGCGTCAGTAGGTGTTTGCGTGGGACAGATGGGCGCGGGAGAGTCAGTGTGGGCGTAGCAGTAGCGAGATTCGGTGCTCTGTGCTTGGATGGGCGGCTTGGGCGCGCGCAGGGACGTTGGGAGAGGAGCCGTGGCGTCGGCTTGGCGGCGGCACACGCACACGCTGGTCATGTCCATGTTGGTGTTGACTAGCAGGGCAGCTGTGCCGTGAATAGCATAAACACGTGCCCCCGGCCTATATGTACACGGGACCAAGTGCCATGTCTTTGGATTCTGTAGTCGGGCAGCTTACTTGTACTCTTTGTCCTCGTCGCATGGCCGCGTGTCAGCAGCAACATGATGGCCATGGTGGTCATGGTGGTCATGGTGGTGATAGTCATCACCCGGCATACATAGGCAAATGCACAGACACAGGCACCTGCGCCCTATGCATTTCTGCGCGAGCAAAACGCCCCATGCACACACACGGCCGCGCACACACGCAGAGGCAATAAAGCAAAGGCCGCGGCGTCGTCGCCTTTTTTTTTCCTTCCTTTTCCTTCTTTTCAGTGCGCGTCGGACGAAACCAGGAGGAGAGGTGATTAAAGGAACAAGTAGACAAGGAGCGCGCCGAACAAAGGCAAAATAGATTCTAGTACTAGGCAATAGCTGATGCATTCCTCCAAACACGGCTTTGGGTTTGGGGGAGACGCCAGCAGGCCTTCCCAACTAGGCCCAGGCCGTTGGCTGTAGCGGCAGTCGCTAGCGGCGTCGGCACCGCGTGAAACGGGCCTAATACACAGCGGGGTAAGTGTGCCTGTGGACCGTGCACGCGGAGTCGTGACAACAGTACCTGTGCCTGTACCCATCTACCCATCCATGTTGTAGCTTGTAGGCATCGTGGTAAACATGCTGTAGGGATGCATTAGGTCTGCCCTGGGGTATCCTCTAGGCATGCATCTGCGTGCATGCCACTCCATCTTCTATATTAAGAAAACATGCCTGTGGTCAAATCAGCGGCATCAAACATTGCAAAAATGCAACATGCAAGTTGCAAGGCTGAGCAGAGTCTAAAGAGTACACGTACAAAGGTGAGGCGAAGCAAACATAGTCGATAGCATTACCCACGTCGATTGGGTCGAATACAGCTACCATCTACCAATCGCAAGCTTACTTGCCCCAAACCTACGTACTACAATACCCCCCTCGAAGAAAGAGAAGGGTCTGCGCCAAGACGTTTGTGGATACGAAGACTCACGATAACGGATCTGGTATTTGGACCATGTTTCTGTCTAGGCGAGGCGCAATGCAGGGAAATGTATGTGATGCTGGGCGCAAGCAAGCAAGCATCAATCAATCAATCAATCAATTAATCAATCAATCAGTCAAACCAAGTTGATTGAGGCCCAAGATGGGTTTGTGGCAATTGGTGAAATAAAGGATAAAGCAGTCATGGTGAGGCATTACGTCATTGTGTTCATGTATGGCCATGTGTGGATGCATACGAGACGGCCAGGGCCACGGGCTGACAGCGAGGCGGAGGCAGATGGCAGATGGCAGATGGCAGATGCTATGACGTCTGCAGAGTCGTCAACACCAAACGTGCCAAGGCTTACGCTCTCCCACTCCAGCTTTTGCATGTCTGCCGAAAGAAGCCGAGGATACGATGAGAGGGTCGACACGTCCACGCACACGTATTCTGATCGGGCCGTAGCATGGCTTGGCCGGGGCTTGGCCGGGTTGGGGGGGGGGGTGCACCAACCAGCATCATGTGTTTATGTATCGCGGGGGTGAGGGGTTTTTTTTGAAATTCTGTGGGTAGCTATGTAGTATGTACTATAGTGTAGGTAGGAGTATAATCACGTTGGTCGCCGGCGGGCATCGGAGACAAGAGAACAAACAAGCTACCACATGGGGCGCCCAAGCTACATGGAGTTTTGGCGGCTGACGAGCCACAAGACATGCCTACTAGCATGTCCAATATCGAGACAGATGAAATTGCACACATGGCTGCGAACACTTCGCAATAATTGCCAACTGGAGGGGGGGGAGGGTATCGTAACCTCTAACAACGCGAGAGAAGAAAAAAAAAATACAAACAAGAAAAATCCATGCCGAGTCGTGCGCTAACGGTACTCCGGGTATTATGCGCAGAGGCAGAAAATACTATGTAGTGAAGCGAAGGGTGCCGCAGATATACACGGGCTGTGTGGCTCAATGCCTGGACGAGAGCTGATGTCGCCACCGACGGGCGTCATGTCCCATTAACAGGTCCAACAAAAATAATAAGACGTCTGTGCGTCTACCATGGTGGCGAGGTGCGTTTCGAAACAACAAAGTCTTGGTTGGTTTTATGCCCTTACAGCGAGTCCATAAAGTCCATGAGCGACTTGCGGCGCCGAATGGCACGGCTCTTGGCGCTCGACACGGAATCGCTGTCCTTTTGCGGACATAGTGGTATCACCAGTAAAGGTTCCCGCTCGTCGGCGCCCCGCGCAACCAACCGTCCCAATGTCGTCGATCGCTTTTGCTGTATGGTGCTGGTGGTGCTTATCGTTGGTAGTGGGGGCGCATTGTCGGGTGTTGGCGTGGGCGTCTTCCTGGCACACTCGGCTCCACGCGACTTGGGGCGAAGAATGGTAGACGCGCGGCGGATCTTGTTGGGCGCAACAAAGTTGGTCGTCGAAGTGCCCTCGAGCGGGGCTGTTTGGGGCGTCTTGGGTGCGGGCGTCATGGGAGTAAGGGGTCCCTTGCCATGGCTGCGCCCGTCAGATTGCTTCTTTGCGGGCGAAATGGCAATCTTGGCTAGCGAGAGTTTCATCGAAATGGACCGCAGGCGGCGGTGGGCCGTTGGCTGTTTCTTGATAATGGGCGAGGCGGCGCTGGTCGTGGCATTCTCGTAGGGATCTGAACTCAAAAACGAGAGGGCGGGCGAGTGAGGGGTTGGGGGCGGGAGATAGGATTGGCGGTTGGATGCTTGGTACGACGACTGCGAGGTTGGGTATTTTGTCAGATCGACACGCGATCGGTTGGGCATGTAGATGGAGGAGCGAGACGATGCAGGCTCTCCCGCGGCCGTCGACGACGATGGGCGGCGAGGAGCATCGCTGAAGGCAGGCGAGAAGCTGCGCGTGGACGCCGTGTGGAACGATGATGTCACCGAGGCCGAGTCGGCCAGTGTGACGGGAGACGTCTTTTGGGTAGCGGGGCTGTGGCTAGGCGATGGGCGCCGGGGCTCCATGGCGGGCGCAGGCGAGATGGGGCGCGAAAACGAGGGAGGGACGTGGCGCGTCGTGGGCAGGACCCTGAGCGACAGGCGCTGTGCCTCGTCTGCCTTTTGCAGGCGGTTGGCTGCCGTCATGGGGAGCATATTGGCGACTGACGCGGATCGTTGTTGGACGGGCGGGCGATCGCCAAGGGGTTCCATGTCGACCATCTTGGGTCGACCAGCATGGGCATACGAGACGGCGACGGCCATGTCGCAGCTCCTGCCCTTGGCCCATCTCGAGATGGACATTGTCTTTGCGGTGGATTCGGCCGACATGTCGTGGACCACGGCATCTTCGTAGTCGTATTCCGAGTCGGAACCCGAGGCCGAGGCATCGTCGGCCGTCAGATCCTCCTCGCTTGAGAGATAGCGGTCCTGGAAAACCTTTGTTTCCTTGGTTGAGGGCGGGCTCGGTTCCTGCGTGGCGGGCGTGTCTATGCGTAGCGTCTCGGGGGCATCGTCGCACAGATTGGGGCTGGAGGCTGAGCTGTCGGTACTGGCGCGTTGGGGGCGGGCGGGTATTTCGGTCTTGTCAAAGGTCCACTGCGAGAGCTGCGAGGCGACGGCGACGTCGACCATGGCTGCGGGTGCGGGTGCGGAGAGGGAGTGTGCAGGCAGGCAGGCAGGCAGGCAGACAGGCAGACAAGCGGGCGGGCGTGGATATATTTCTATGCAGGCAGGCGGCAGCTGAGTGTGTGTGTGTGTGGAGGGTTGAAACGCGGAGGCGGTGGGTGCTGGGCCCAGGAAGACTAGGCAAGCCGCCGTCTGAGCGAGAGTGTTGGTGTTGCACAGCGTGTCAGAGAGAGCGTGGGGGGAGGACGACGGGGGGGGGAGGGTATTATGGCAGCGGAGAGCAACGGCTGGAGGGGCAGCAAGAAAGGCCGGCGCTATATTATACAGAGATTGGCGACGGGCGTGTATATTGCGCGCAGCAGACGGGCCCCTGGCACGGCGTCGAGGTTTCAAGTACTACCCAGGGCACGGGCGCAGGGCGGCGGACGGGCCAGGGCCGCCAGGGAAGGCCAGGAGTCAGTTGGGCGAGTCAGTGCGCGATGCCATCATTTCGCGTCGGCGAGGGGTAGTTGACTAGGCCTAGCAGCTGCTGGCCTGGTTAGCAGGCGCATGCGCTGCCTGTGCCTGTGCCTGCGCCTGCGCCTGCGCCTGCGCCTGTGCCTGTACGCATGAGGGTATACTGTAGCTGGGGCCAGGGATGCATGCGTCGCAGTGTCGTGGCCGCGGCCGTGGGTTGGCCCTTTTCATTTTTTGGCTGGTGGCGATAGCGAGTGGGTGTGTGTGTGTGTGTGTGTGTGGTGGGCGTGCTGCCAGGCAAGAAGGGTGAGAGCGACATATTTTTTTTGTTTTGGCCTGCGCTTGCACTGGGACTTGGTTGAACTGGGTTGCAGGCAGGCGCGTGGGAGGACGGCGGGGCCTGTGAGTGGCTGCCCGGCCCGTTTCACCTGCACGCGGCTTCATCACAGCAGCAGACGCTGCTGCACCCACACCACCACCATCACCACCACCACCCACCACCACCCACCACCCATCACCACCCATCACCACCTGCTCCTCCATGGCTATCAGCACCGCCAGCCGCCAGCCGCCAATGCCATCGCCGCCTGCCATCGCCGCCTGCCATATCGCCTGCCCTCCCCCCCTCCATCACCGCCGCCCTCGACCCTCACCGTCACCCAGCGCCTGCACCGCCTTGGCACGCTGCAAACCGCCCGCCTCACAAGCTGACGTCGCCCGCCATCTCACCCCCATCCATCCTACTGCGACATTGGGCGCTGCAATCATGGGCGATGCAATGCAATGCCACACGCAGCCGGCACACTGCTCATGATCGCCGTCGCAGTCCCTTCATCTGAGCCACCACCACCAAGACGCGCCGTGTCCCCTCTCGTCACCGACGCGCCAGGCGTTCCTGTGCCGGTGCCGGTGCCTGTGCCGCTCAGGGGCTGCGGCCTGCCGCCTACGGCCACGGCGGCCACGACGGCCTACCACACATGCGCACACGCACACACGCTCTCTCTCTCAAGCTGTGGGGTTCGCTCTGTTCCTCTCTCGGCCCTAGTCGACGCCATAGCCGCCATCGCTCCACCGCCAGCCCACCTGCACCCACCTTCCGCCGCCTGTCGCAATGCCCGCCCTCTCACCTGCGAGCTTGGTTTTTCTCCCCTCGCCCTCTCTTTTTTTCCCTTGTCCGCTCTAACCGTTCATGCCATGCCTCGCCTCGCCTCCACGACACCACCACCACCCCCTGCACTCGTTCCCCTCGTCGTCTTTCCCCCGCCACGCGCGGCGGTGCGGCGCATCGCGGTGCTCTGCATACGCAGCCATCTAGTCATCGGTACTACCACGACGTACACCGAACCTACTACACAGCTCTCCGCCTCGCCCGGCCCCGTCTCCGCCTGCTGAGAGTTTCCGTGGCCGTCGCGCCTTGCCTCGCCCTCAGCACATGGCGTGCCCGCCCGCCATGGCAACGCACTAGCCTGCTCAGGTACGTGCTGATCGCGTGGCTCTATTCTCGGGACAACAACAAGAGTCCCATCTGACATGCAGCTGCGAGGGCCGTCACCGCCTTGCCTGTCCTGTCCGTGCCATTCGCTCCTTATGCCTGTCCACACCGCCAGCCCCCAACCCGTCATCCAAGGCCAACGCCTGCTCTCCGAGACCCACCCTACACCCTCTGCCTGCCGTTCATCGTCTATTGCGCTATCCACAGCGAATAGTCCTCATTCTCCGAGATTGCGACGCCTTGACGATCCCCCCTCCCCCTTCCTCTCCTCACGACCGCCTGCTTGGACGCCTGATAGGCTCTACTTTGCGGCTTGATAAACTCTGCCTGGTTGCCCCCCTCAGCCAACACTAGCATCGTCTCGGTAATCTGTGTAAATTGCACCATATCTAGCATCGCATATTGCCGGAACATAGGCCCGTGCCAGCTCTCTCTCTCTCTCCACGTCTCTCTCTCTTCCGCTGGCTGGGCTCGCTCTCTCTCTCTCTCTCTCTCTCTCTCTCTCCAACAATAGCATCGCCGCCCCAGCGCCTGGCCCCATGCTTACTGTGCGTATCATGCTCAGGCTGCAAATACTTGACTAGTAGACGCCACTTGATGTATCTCATTCCTGGTAGGCCTGCTGCATCGCAAATGTCGCGACCCTGGCTCGTCACAATCATGTCGTGTTCCAATACCACCACAGTGGGGTTTCAGCAAAAACACCATTTCTTCTTTGCCTGCGCCCACCACACTCGGGAACTCATCATGCACCAACAGGTTGCGCCAGCCCATGGGCCCAGAAGCCCATGTTTAGCATGCAGCATCTTCGTGCTGCAGGAACGCCACGCTCAACCGTACCCCGTGGTACTACCTACTAAGTACATACAGCATCCTAGCCTGCGGACATTCGGTCCTGATCATCTCGCGCGTTAGTCATGGCCTGTGACAATATCACTCTACTCCATCTGCTAATGCTGCCATACCACGTCGGCGCTTCAACTCACGCTTAGTTGCCACCCACATGAAGTTTCTGGAAGAGGCCGCTTGTCGGACAAGCCTGAGCCCACTGATATGGCATCCCCCAACTCCGCTGCCCCGGAGGATTCATGATGCTGCTGCCAATGTGCCCGTCCTGTCGCACCATGCCAAGCTTCCTGGTCTGGAACCACCACGCCTGACGCTGACCTGAAAAGAACAACTTCTTCACGCGCTAGATGATTCGATGCACTAGCGTCGGCCTATCCACTCCCGTAACCGGCGTCCTATCCCCAGAGGCCACTTGTCTGTGTAACAGGTATACCACTAACAGCCTTGACAGCACCCGATGTTTCATTGAATCGACGGTAATGCTTCTAGCCACTTAATAGCACCCGCTGCGAACGCCCTGCTTACTTCTCCATGGATGGACAACTGTTTACTGAAAAGCCGACTGCCGACTACCCCGGGCCGAACTGGTAAAAAAAAAAAAAAAAAAAAAAAAAAAGCGCAGCCGGTCATGTTCACACTTGAAGATATCGCCTTCAGTTCGGTCGATTCCACGTCCATGGCCCACGTGGTGTCACGTAAGTGTTCACGAAGCACCAGCCGCTCACTGTCACCAACTTGTCGATAACAATCATGGGGTGCATATCGCTTTCAACCGGTGGATATGTCAAGTCAAATAACCACCCGCCTTATCCAACATTTTACCTTTGATGGGAAATACTATGACCACACCACTCCACATAGCGAGCGAGTTTCGCATAGATTGCCCTCATCTGCATTTTCGGCACAGGCAAACCAGGACCCGCCACAATTATTTGCATGAGCAGCTATAGAGCGAGCCACATAGCCGACTTCGCCGCTGCGGGATATAATGCTTAACAGAGTTAGTATTACCATATTTGCAGGGATGCATTTGCAGCAACCACACAGATTCCTACACGATAAGTCAGCTGCTCCAAAGGCCCACTTTGCATCGGCATGGCACGCTTCTCAACACTATTTACTGCCGGCATACACAACGCTTTTTGAGCTTTAAAGAGGGCAAGTAAACGCCTTGTCCGAAAGCATTATTGTCGATGGGGAGAAGAAAAAAAGAAACATTGACACGATGCCGCTATAGCCGGTAGTACAGTTTGCACAGACAGCCGGGCGTGCCGATCATGTATGACGATAGACGAGTTGTCTCAAGATGTTGATCCTGCCAACTGCCAGCTTAGTGACAAGGCTGTATCATCTGGCTCAGAATCCATAGGTTTAAAGGGCCCAGTGTTTGTCACTACAGAACACATGTCTCCCTTACGAGCAGTAAGGAATGCAACGCTATGAGACCAGAGAAACGATACTCTCAGCTGTTCATGCCATGCGACCGCCAAGCCGGGAAAAGAAACGAAAATGTCTGCTTGGTGTGACTGAAGCGTTCCCCGCATGCCTCCAGCTTTCAGACGATTGCGGTAAGGTACAACTGCCGTATACTACAAGGCACAGCAAATTCTTGACTATCGGTCGTGTACATCCAAGCACTGCGTGTATAGCAACTCTCTCACATCATCTTCAATACTTCTACTGAGCCGACTACGCATAAAATCCATGCCCTATCTGATGCAACGCTTCATTGTTGCTTTTCCGACCTGGACTGCTGGCTGTTCCAGAATAGACATGCATCCCAACCACCACCAGTCCAAGATCCGTGTTCCCATATGGCGATCACAAGAGTTTGAGTCGATCAAAACGAATGGGGGGGGGGCTGTATCTATCTAGGGGTGTCCAGAGTCCAACTGGGTTTTCCCGTCCATGATATAGATGCTTATCGCGCCTAGGATTACACAGAATCTCGCGCTCGATGACCGCCCTTGCATGTAGCATCCACCACTCTCGTTTGATTCCTTTGCGTTTGTTTGTTTGATTGTTCTCAACACCGTCCCGCAACTCTAATGGAGCTCGTGGTGTCTGAGAAAGCGACTGAGGCTCAGCTACCCATGCCCCGCAAGCTATGGGAGCATCCAGATCCTAAATCCACAGCCATGTGGAAATTTATGCAGAGTGCCAATCGTAAATGGGGGTTGAATATGAAAGTAAGCTAGTGACAAGTCACGGACGACCATTTGCGTAGCAAGGCTCAACAACCGCTGATCCATCTAAACAGACCTTCCGCCATCTATACTCGTGGAGCATTGGCCCTAATCGTACTGATTTCTGGCAAGATATGTGGACCGCCTGCAACTTGATTTACTCGGGCCACTACCGTCAGGTTGTTGACACGTCCATACCCATGGACCAAAACCCTCACTGGTTCCGCGGCACATACATCAACTTTGCCGAAAACATTCTCTATACCGCCTCGCCCTCGGACCCGTCTCGTCGCACCACCCTACATAAAGAAGACTCCAAGGTTGCACTGACAGAGATTCGCGAGGGCAACACTGAAGTCGCGCATCTGACGTGGGGTGAGCTACGCCGCCGCGTTGGTCTTCTCTCCAATGCCCTCCGTGCAAATGGAGTGACCAAGGGAGACAGGATCGCTGTCATTGCGTCCACGAGTTTTGATACATTTGTTGTATTTATGGCTACAGTCAGTTTGGGTGCGCTGTTCAGCTCGAGTAGCACGGATATGGGCACAAAGGGCATTCTGGAGCGCCTCTTGCAGATCAAGCCCAAGTATGTCTTTGTCGATGACTGGGCAGTCTACAACGGGAAAACCATGGACCTTCGCCCCAAGATCAGCAAACTCGTGGCCGGCATGCAAGCTATTATGGAATTCGAGGGTGTGGTAACTCAGCCCCGATTTCCCGGCCACGCGGCAGGTGTAGATGGTCTCGGTAGCACGCAGACACTAGAGGCTTTCCTGCAGGCTGCAGATGGCAACGAAGAGTTGGCGTTTGAGCGTGTCGCCTTTCGCGACCCTTTTCTCATTGTTTATTCGAGCGGGACAACAGGCATGCCCAAATGCATAGTTCATTCCACTGGAGGAGTTCTGGTCAATGTCTGCAAGGAGAGTATTCTGCACAAGGAAATGACGCCTGAGAGCGTAGTTTTACAGTACACAACCGTAAGCCCTGGCCTCGCCCTCTCGCCTGATCTTCTCCCGTAACTAATGCACACCTAACAGACGGGCTGGATCATGTACCTAGTGTCTGTACAAATCTGCCTCTTCGGATGTCGAACCATTCTCTATGACGGCTCACCCTTGCAGCCCTCACCACATGCCTTCCTTTCAATTCTGCAAGACCAGCGCGTCACCGATTTTGGCACTTCGCCGCGCTTCCTTCACGAGCTGCAAAAGCGCGACATCAAGCCCCGCAACTTGTTTGACCTGGGACACCTCAAGAGTGTCGGGACAACGGGCATGGTGCTCCCAGAGGCGCAATTCGAATGGTTTTACGACTACGGCTTCCCGGCTGCAGTCCACCTCCGCAACATCTCAGGCGGCACTGACATTGCCGGCCGCTTTGGCATGGAGAACCCTCTTGAGCCTGTGTATGTAGGCGGATGTCAAGGGCCCTGTCTAGGCACCAAAGTCGAAGTGTACGATACTTGTGTTGAGTCTGCACGCGGCGGCATGGCTGTTCCAGATGGCCAGTCTGGCGAGCTCGTTGCTACGGCCTCGTTCCCCAACCAGCCCGTGTGCTTCTGGGGCGACGACTCGTCAGGCACGCGGTATAAAAACGCATACTTTACGCGCTTCCCGCATGTCTGGACCCACGGCGACTTTATCCAGATGCATCCTGTGACGGGGCAAATGATTTTTCTCGGGCGCGCAGACGGCGTCTTGAATCCGTCCGGAGTCCGCTTTGGCTCTGCGGATATCTACAGCGTCATCGAGGCGCATTTCCCAGAGATTGCGGATAGTCTTTGCGTGGGACAGCGGCGGCCGCACGATGCAGACGAGAGCGTGATTTTGTTTCTAAAAATGGCAGAAGGGTCGGAGTTCCACGAGGCGCTTGTTGAGCGTGTCAAGAGCAAGATTGCCGAGGAGAGGACAAGGAGACATGTGCCTAGGTTTGTGTTTCAGACGTGGGATATCCCGGTATGTTTGCTTCCATTTTTTTTCCTCCTTGTAACTCCTCCCCACTTTCCCCTTTCTCTCTCTCTCTCTCTCTCTCTCTCTCTTTTTTTTGTGTGCTTTGTTTTTCTTGTTTTGTTTTTAGGGTTGTGTATATGGCGGTGTGGTCCCACTTCCCTCCTCTTTCCAATCCGACTCTGCGCACACTGTGGAAAATACATAACCCAGAAGGGAATAAAGTATATCAACTAACATAATGACAAAATAGACAACTGTCAATCTCAAAAAGGTCGAACTCCCCGTCAAGCAAATCGTATCCGGCGTCAAGATCAAGCCAAGCGGCACGCTACTGAACCCACAGTCGCTCGAGTACTATGAGCAGTTTGTCCAGGTCGAAGATGTGGTCAAGAGACTGGCTAATGAAAAGAAGGCCAGGCGGAGGAGAACGCTGTGAGAAAAATGATTCTTCCTTTGTTGCTTGCTTCTTTCCTGTCTGACTGATTGCAACAGAAGCAGAAGAAGCAAACGCATGCTGGCACTCTTCTTTTCCTCGTTTCTATTTCTTTTGTGGCACCGCGAAGAGCTGAGTGTCATGCGCGTTACGAGCAATGATGTCAAACATATCAAGCGGCAAGTCTTTCTCTTGTCATGTTGGGCAGCACTTTTCCTGCAGGAACTGGCTTTTTTCTCCCACCCTCTCATTGTTATGCATTCCGTCTTTTCCCAAACATCTTGTTTGGCAGTATTTTAATTACGCCCTGTTGACAGGTTTCGCTGCAGAGCAGCTATGGAGGTATCAATCCTTGTTTTTTTCTTTTGCATAGCGGTATTTGTATTCACCCTATTTTTTACAGTAGTGCAGAGAGGATCAAATTGAACCCCACCAAGCTCGATGCATACAAGCTATGTTTTATGCGAAGAGAGAAGTAATGCTATCTGCGTCGAGCGGTCCAAGTGAAAATGAAATCTTTGACGATTGCGAATGATTTCAAAGTTAGAGTATTGTATTGCAAATTGGAGTAAAACACATCTTGAACAGAGCAGTAAGCTTACCTACATGCCTAGCGCTTTGTACACTATGAGTAAGCATCAGTTCATAAAGTGAGATCAATGCCTTATAAATACCAAAATTGCGGTCTTCTTGACTTGATGGATTATCGCATGACGAGGCGAAATTTACATTGCTAGAGTTGAAGTGCAACACTGCACATCTGTCGTCACATTTCCCTCTTCATCTGGGCATATATGCATATGTCAGGAAGTACTGCATTTCAGACAAATTTGTCTTCTGGATTGCCACAAGCAGCACTGAAGATGAACTTCCAAAAATAATGAAAAGATGACGAAGATTCCTGCCAAAGTGGGCGGGCCATACATCCTCTTGCGGCCTTTTTTTTGCCCCATTACGCCTCATAAACGCCCTGGATCTGCCTTTCTCATCTACACGTTCGCAGCCCTGTTCTTCCTTCTTTCTGCACATCGCGCTCACACACCATGGTGCTGAAATTCCGTGGAGAGTATATATGTATTCTCGGCTTGCATATCGTGACTAGACCTTCTCGGCAACCTTGTTCTCTGCAAAACACGCGTTAGCTCATTCTGCCCATATTGTGCTATTCCCAAGTGCTCTCGCTCTCGCTCTCTGTGCCTCTCGCATGCTCCTCCACAACACCACCGCAAGCTCCGAAAAGCTCTGTCACCCAAGACCACCAATAGATACATAGATACGAGGACAAAAGAGATCCACATACTCTGCTGCGTCAACAAAAGCCCATAGCGCTTCTTGATGGTAACCCTGTGCCTGCTGTACTTGTCGTCTGGCGAGAAGCGCGCAGGATGCGCGCTCTTGCTGACTTGTCCATTGATGATCTTCTTCAGCGTGTAGATGCGCTTCGAGGGATCCGCAGGGTCGGCAATGTACATGAGATGCATGCTGTCGAGGGTCGTGTTAGCTTCTTGCTTGCTTGCGATGCGCGCGTGGTGCGGATTTTCTCTTGGGAAGAGGGAGCTAGCTTGAGAAAGCGAGTGCGCGCGGGCGGTGCATGGACGTACGTAGCGGTATTGTCGTTTTCTTTCCCTTTTTTGGCTAAAGAGAGAGAAAGAGAGAGAAGGCGGCTATACGTGCTTGCGACGTTGGTACGTGGGTGCGTCGTGTGGATGGGCAAAGAGCAGTGCAAATAGCTAATCCCTACGATCGCAAAGAGCAGCAGCGGGCATATTTTTTTCCCGGGACCACGCGAAGCTCCACGCTAGCGCCAAGACCCCCCCACCCCTGCTTAGCGTATGGAGAGCGAGACTAGTTTGACTTGTTTGCATTGAAACCTCCACATGTCATTATCCACTTGCTCGTGATCGCGCGTCACTGGACAATACATACACACACATACATTCACTCTTGTCTGTCTTTTCCTCAGAAATCGCTCCTTGCCTTTCTCGCCCTTGCAATTCCCCGAGAGATAGTCGCAATCCGGCACCATGACCCGCCTTATCCTCATAATCACAGCACTCATATCCCTCAGTACCGCGCAATTCGGCTTCTTCGACCAAATGTTTGGCGGTGGCGGTGGCGGCGGCGGTTCGCAGCAGCGTGGCGAGCCGCAGAATGTACGGAGCGATAGTAGTTGGTACCAGGCGCAGTATGAAGGCGGTACGTGCTCTATATCCTCCGTGTGTCAGTCTCTTGTTGACGCGCTAACGATGATACAGCACAATGCTCGCATTACCTATGCCCTGGCACGCTTTCTTGCGTTCACTTTCCGCATCATTGTCCCTGTGCGTGGGGCACCGTAGAAGACAAGGTTGAGCTGGGCGAGGGCATTGCCGTTTGTGGATCCAAGGGCGGATGGAGCGAGGGCGAGTTTGCGAAGAAGGTTGATCTGGCGAGGAAGGGCATGCTTTGAGCTGGGACACCGGACAATTGCGCTACAATATCATACATGTGGAGTTTTGGTGAAAAGGGAATAGAGAGACTGCACTAGACTTATCATGCGAGATTCTTTTGTCGGACACGACATTACGAGAGAACATGGATACATGGCTGCTGTACAGGAAGAATCGCATTCAAATGGGTCGATATGCACACCCCAGCATCGATTCCAAAACGCCAAGTTCTACTCAATTCAACGCCTTATACAAGACTCGCAGTGACCCATAACGATACCCTCACCTCTTGACATACTTGTACCGATACGCTTGCTTCCCGTCCTTGTCCTCCCTCTCCTGATCCACACCCATCTCCTCTCTCCCCCACTGCCTCATCAACACTTTACCCAGTACTTCTCTCTCGCTCTCCAAATCCCGCACACTCTCACTCCACTGCCCGTCGCGCTTGCCCACGACCGTCTTGGCCTTTTCTTTCATCAGCTTGCTGAGCAGCACAGCCAGTTTCTCGTCCATGGCTTGGTTTGCAGCCTCTTGGTCTGCTTCTTTGGTGGCGAGGAGCGACTGAAGGGATGCGTTTTCCGTGCGGAGGGCAGAGAGCTTGGATTCCAGTGTGGAAATGGTGGATTGTTGTGAGTCTGAACGAGTAGACTTGAGTGTCTTGATTTCTTTGCGGAGGGTCGAGATTTCGGTTTTCAGCATCTTAATGTCGGTGACCTGGGTGCGGATGATGCTGCGGAGGCTGGCGATTTCTGTGGCCTGCGCATTCGTCGCTGTCGCCGATGAATTGGTGGTGTCCATGGAGTAGTCTTCTTCTTCTTCATCACTCTTCATCAACCTTTGCGCGGCGCTGTTGCGCAAGGTCTCGACTTCGTCCTTGATGCGCCTCAGCTCTCTCGTTATGCGCTTCTTTTCGCTGCGCTCTTGCTCAAGTACTGTGCCCGTCTTGCGTACGGCGTCTTCAGCCTTGTCGCGGACCTCTTCCATCATGGCCTTGTGTTCTTCAATCATGTCTTCGTGTTGTGTTCGTAATTCTTTAAACTTGGCTTCAGCTTCAGCCTTCAATTCCTTCATCTTGCTGAGCTTCCGGTCAATATCGTGGACGCGACGGTCGGCCTCTGCTCGAGCATCTTTCAAAAGATCGTTGGCATCTTCTAAATCCCGCTCAAACCGTTCCGCGTCGCCTCTTGCTTTGGCACAGTCACGATGTGCTTCAGCTAGTTGCTGACGAAGGTTGGTATTGCCAGTTTCAAGGCTTTGCAATCGACCCTGGTATGTATTGATTCGCAGTTCAGCCTGTTCCTGGGACTCAATGTACCGCGAGATTTCTTCGTCTTTTGCAGCGAGCTCAGACTGGGCAGCTTGTAGTTGGTGCTGGAGAGATCGCATGCGCCCTTCTTCAGTGAGCTGGCGCGACTGCTCATTACTGACGGCCTGGTTTTTACTGGTAGCCCCAATCTGTATATTAAGAGATTGGACCTCTGCCTCCCGTGAAGCTGTGCGCTCGGGTTGCTGGTCTTTTGAGTCAAGTTGAGATTGGAGGAACTTGATGCGAGCCTCCAGTTCATCTATTTCGGTGCGCTGACCCTGTCCAGCAGACTCCTTCGATGACGTCTGGAGTTCTGCCTGCAACGCACGAAGGCGAGCGTTGAGCTCGATGTTCGTCTGAAACAGCTGCTCTTTTGCAGCAACATCAGCCTGTGCACACTCGACGTAAAACTGCGCTTTCTGGAGGGATCCCTCGAGCTCAGCAATGCGCCGTGCCTGATCACGGGTCTTTGCTTCGGCCGCACATCGCATCTCGTCCTTCTTCTGTGCCTCCTCACGCGCCAATTTGGCTTCAGAGGTAGCAGTTTCGAGATTAGACTGAAGCATGCTTGCCCTCTCCTGGACAGAGGATAGTTGTTCGACGAGCAGCAGTCGCTTGTGCTCAGCATTGTCATCCGTGTTCCCAGACTGCTGTACTGCTGTCCCTTTCAAGCCTTGCAACTCTGCCTGAACTTCGTCTAGGCTGCTGTCCTTGGCCTTGACTTGGTCAGTAAGTTGACGGTTCGACTCTCGAAGCTCTTTTCGCTGCCGCTCAAACTCTCCGAGCATTGCCTCGAGCTTGGCGAGATTTTGAAGCCGCATCTCCTCTCTAGTATCGTGCATTTTGGCTTCGAGTGCATCTTCTCGCAATTTCAGCGCCGCATCGGCCGCCTCACGGGCTGTGCCATGATCAGCCCGCTGTTGCTCCATGCTTTTCTCCAAAATCGACAGCCTTTCCTTGTTCTTGTAGTTGTCAGCACGGGTGCTTTCGAGCTCGGAGCGGGTATAGGACAGGATGGTCTCGAGTTCTGTGATGCGCGACCTGGATTTCGACTCTTGTTGCTCGAGCTGGTGCTGCAGCTCCGCAATCTTATTGCGCGCCACATCTTGTTCGCTCGTATCAATAATGGCCGAGGTGTGTCGTATGACCGTCTCATGCGTCGGCTTTCGCGGGGTGTCGTAGTCCTCGACGGTCGGCTGCAGCGACCGTGCCTTTGGTGGTGAGGACCTGGGAACCTGCAGAAAACTATGCCGGGGAGCATGCAGCGGCGTTCCAGTGAGGGCGCCGTCGAGTTCGGTGTCTGGCAGATTGCTGAGAAAACTGCGGACTTTTTCTTCGTTCTCCATGGAGCGCTCCGACGGGGGCTTGCTGTGCTTGCGCTCGTCCGACGTGTCGTTTGCGCGCCTGGTGGGCGACGCGGTGCGCGACCGTTTATCTGCCGGCTGCCTGGGCTCCTCCACCACGACTAGGGGCTCGCCCACCTCTGTGGCCTGCCGCACCTCGCTGGCATCCGGTATGGCGTCCATTCTCGCTGTCGGCCGCTTGCTTTTAGCCTCCTTCCGCGACTTGATCTGTGCCAGGGGCAGGTCGGCCGTCATCCAGTATGTCATGTTCATGGTAAAGTCCTCGGGCCCCTCAATCTCGCTCGTGTCGACGCGATCGACGGGCGGCTGGTGACTATGCTCAAGCTCGGTCGATTCGAATGTCGAGTTGAGGCCCAGGGCATCCAAGTCCATCTCATACTGCGACCCATCTTGCGAAGCGGGACGCGACGGGCTGCGTTGCGGCGATTGGAAGCGCGTCGGGCTTGCCGTGTACGAGGAATAAGTTCGCACCATGACTGACGCGCTGTGCCTGCTGCATTCAGGTTAATGTGGGGGTTGCTGGGGCGTGGTAAGAATTGCGTTGTTTGAATAGATGCTCTGTTTGTTGTGGAAATGCATTTCCAGTCTAGTGCCATGCACGACCGGGGTTAAGGAGCAGTTCGCGTTTAATTCCATCCTTGACGCTTCGCCTATCGCGGCCTCGACACATGATGCCCGCATACTTTTGTCTATTTGTCTATACTCTTTCAAAGCGTGTGTCGGTATCCAGGCCATGACAGGGCGAAATTTCCTGCTTCAAACAGTGTGTATAAAAGGACATGAGACGAGTGTGGGACATGGATGCGTTTCCATGTCAATAGACCGTAGCTTAGTATCCTGTATTAATTCACCATACCAAAAACCGCTTCGGTGGCTGGACCATGGATGAGAACTCTCCTGTATGCATTGTGTAAGGGCTCGAGCTGACGTAGACGCCGTCAACTCCACTTTTTGCGCGTTGCCTGGAACTGCCATCATGACATGATGGCCATGTGACGACAACCCGGCATGACGCGGATTGAACTGGTGGGGGGATTGTCAACGCGTCAAGCCATGCACGAGGACAGAGTCCCTGCAGATGCGAAAGAAACATGTATGCAAATTAATATGCTACTTGGTAACTAAGCTAACAATACAAACTTTTAACATCGAGCGACGGGAAAGATGCGCAAACACCATCCCAGCCATAACAAGTTCTAATAAACTTGGAGTCATGCATGGAGACGTCCCAAAAGGCCAATAGCCCAGGCAACATGCCACCCAGAATGCGTCGTATGATGAACCAGCAATTCCAACCATTGGTATCTCCTCATTACAACTCGGTCATGCAAGCTATTCCCCGGCGGACAAGACGCCATTCTCAGCACCACGCAACGCTCCCAGCGCGCGCTCCAGCTCTTCCTCGGCAACCATGACGGTGCCTGCCCTCGCTGTACTGAGATAGCTCATCTCAACCGGGTCTTGCAGTTGGCCCGTCGTCTCACCAACCAAGCGGCCAGCTACGCCACATACAATGCCCGTACTCTCCATAGGAAGGTCTCGCAGGTCGAGCGTAATGGGCGTGAGGAACTCGTCTCTTGAACCTAATAGTGTGTCCTGCGCAAAGTTTGGCAGTAGTGTGTGATCGAATAGGAGAGCAGCAGATTCCGTGTCGGTTAGCGTGAGGGATAAAAACTTGGGGTACGGCTGCGTAATGAGGCATTTTACAAGACCAAGATGAAGTGCGTCATCTGCGGCGGTTGTCTTGCCGTTGCCGTTTCGATTCATGTCGTTGCTGCCATCCCTGCGGCCAGCGCACTGAACGAGGCGGATGGTGGAATCCACAGTGGGCACAATGTTTCGACGTTTCAACGTGGCAAATGTCCTGGTTTGGAGTTCAGAAATGTTGGTTGGCGGCGGCGTGCTTGGAGGCTGCACTTCCAAAGACGCAGCCGAATGCTTGCGGCCTGGTTGGAACGAGTTGACGTAGGACGACGTGTCCTTTTCAAACTGGAACCCCCGCTCCTCGAGGGCCTCCACGACTTGGGATCGGTGTCGAAGCGGTACGAGGATGTAGTCGGAAAAGTATGTAGTGATGAAGAAGATTGGACTGGTGCCGTGTCAGTCCTGTACCCCATCTTGGAGCAAACCACACTTACATGCCGGCAAGAGCAAGAGGACTCGTTAGTTCCAAGACACGCTGGCCGGCGTCGAGGCCCTCACCATCGACCTGCATGACGACAAAGTCATCTGTAGTGATATTTACTGCTTCCCTTGATTGAGAATCCAGAAAACTGAGGACGGGAACAAACAGCTCATTTGCAAGCGTTCTTGAGCAGACTATAGAACACTCGACCGGGGTGATGGAGATGTTCACAAAGGGGTGCTCGCACGGCCAGCTGTTGGGAGGCTGGACAGCGCCGGAGCCATTCCCAAAGCCATTGCTACCACGAGTCGCGTTGGGCAGAACCAGCTGGAGAATGGATTGGAGAAAGGTCCGGTACAGGTGCAAGGGGATGTGTATCAGAGCGAGTTGCGTGTCCTTGGAGGTAATCATGTTAGCTGGGGCCGACTTGAGAGAAAAATTTCGTGTGGCAGGCGAATTATAACACTCGAACCCTGTGCAGTGTCGTGCATGAAGGACCCGCCACTCAGGCCGCCTCCGATGTAAATCAAAGAATTTTTTTTTCTTTGCTGCGTTGCCCATGCAGCAAGTTTCACAATAACTGGAGAAGCACGTACCAGAATTCGGATGTTCGCACTCAGCAAAGTCAGCGAGGCGTCCATTACGCACAGTCGGGGGGGCGGGTAAGGGATAAGAATAGTAGACCCTCTGACTGGCGATCGATGGCGTGGTCGTAGGGTGCCGCCTGCAGGCGTCTTATCCGAATCGGTAAGACTATGGTGCAGCAGGCTTGCTAGGAGGAAGCGGCAGGCGTCCAGGAACAGCAGCGAGCAAAAAGCAAGCCTGTCGTTTATTCCGACGCTATTCTCGCCAGAAGCAAGGTGCTATGCGGGGCGGGGGATGGGACCAAGCTATCGGTTGATGTGTTCTTGTCCTACGGGCCAGTGCGAAGTATCGTTTTTGAAGCCGAAATTCATCCCACAAGCCTAGCGTGCGTAACGTCGAGGTAAGTAGAGGCAGGAGGCAGGATGTCGAGGGCGGGTGATGGATAGGGCACAGGCAGGGTGGGTGCGGCTAATGGCGTGGGTTCTGGTGCGGACCGATAGTATGCGCGGGCGTCACACAGCAAGAGGCTGAGGTACACGAGTTAGTCGAGGTGACGCCGGGGTCTGGGCAGGATGAGGATTCGGGGAGGGGTGCAAAGGCAGGAAGTCTGGGGTAAGAGAGGCAGCGTGGGGATGTATGCAGGCTGCCGTGTTCCCATTGGCCGGGCGAGCAGCTCGACGGTAGGGTGCAGAGAGCCTAACGCTGGCGTTCAGGGCAGAGTGCGCAACGCGCGCGGGAGGGAGCTGAAGAGAGTGCGCGGGATGCTCACAGTCGACGACGGGTGCATGCAAAAGGGGGAGCGGTGCTGCGCGTAGGGCGCGAGGCTTTTGCTCACGTCGAGCCTGGATGCGTGGGGGGATCCTGGTCTAGAAGATAGCTGCTAAGAGATAGAGAGTAGCTGTGTAGGTGGGTACATGTATGGGCGCAGGAGACGGGCGCGGGTGGTGCTGCTGGGGTGGGTAGACGGCGATCTGGACGCACCGACGCTTTTATGTGAGTCGAGAGGGCGGCCGTGACGAGTCGAAGAGAGCGAGAGCGAGAGCGAGAAGGGGAGCGGGAGAAAATTGCACGATCGGGCGCGGCCATGGGTAGCTAGTGCTGCATCATGGTGGCCGTCGGCGGCAAGGCGGGAGCCAGCAAGGAGAGGGCAAGCAAGTATCTCTCAGGCTGAGCGCCGGTAGTCCGACACCCTACATGGACGCAGCCTGTCATGCAGCGCTCCATGGGCTGCAGCGCACACTGTCGGTGTCGGTGTCGGTGTCGCCGTTGTTGTGGTTGTCGTCGCCATGGCCATGGCCATGCCCTCGCCGTCTACATGTTTCACGACGTCGTTTGTCCTGCTGGAGCAGCCGGTTGCATGTGGAGCAACGTGAGATGCCCCACGCCCGCCATTGCCATGGTCGCTTTCTTTGTCTTTCTTTCCAGCGGGTCCTCAGGCGCCGATGCTGCAGGCGGTCGGTTCCGAAGCACATGGGTTGTCTGTGTGTGTATGTGCGTGTGTGTGTGTGTGGCTAGGGTGGGTATGTGTGGATGTATGGGTGGATGTTCGAGTAGGGCCCCACGGCACTCTGCTCGCACTCGTCGTAGCCTGTGCCTGAGTAGGAAAGCCGAGCATAGCCGCCTATCGTGCCTGACTCAGCACCCTCACGTCCACTGCCGTGCCGTTGCGCGTCAAGCGCCACGACTGACTTGAGTTTGAGTTTGGGCTGCTCGACTGCGAAGACAAGACCGGCCGTGTCCATGTCCATGTCAATGGGCAATGGCCCCCCCGCTCCTTTGTGCTGGTGCTGGTGCTGGTGCTGCTATTGTTTTGTTGTTGTGTGTGTGTGTGTGACCAATGAGGCGTTTACCCCGCATCTCTCTCTCTCTCTCTCTCTCTCTGCCTCCATCTCTCGTCTGTGCGCTGCAATGCCGCTGCCACCACCACTGCACATTCTCCTCGCTCGTCTCGCACCATGACGTACTTGTGCCTTGACCGACGACATGACGGCTACCTGCAGCTATCAGCATTGGCATCAGCATCAGCATCAGCATCAGCATCAGCATCATCATCAGCATCAGCAGCATCATCGCCATGGGTGCCGGATGGGGCCCACGCCATACAAGTATCGTCTGCCGCACAAGTGCCCCTCTCGGGCACTCTTTCCGGACCCACACACGACGCCACATACATCCATCTGCACGCATACATCCCAAGGAAGCAAAGCTTGCAAAGGCAAAAGGCACTCTCGCCCTCTCAATGGGCGCGCGTGGGGGGAGGGGGGAGGGGGGCACGGCATCGCTATGCCTCTCGCCCTCTCTCAACCCCTCGCCAACGCATCCCACGACTCCGCACTGCCCACCTGTCGCCGTCGCAGCCTTCACCCTCGATGCATGCCGGAACACGACCCGTCCTGCATGACTTGTGCTGGATCGGATGGACCTTGCATGCGACGCTGACTGCATACAGTGCATGCAGTACGAGCCTTCAGGGCTGCCCATTCATTCATCAGTCGTCGCTGACCGTTCATGGCTTACACGAGGCCTCGTACAATGGGCTCATGACATACTGCCTGACCAACAACCGCCCTCTATCATAGTAGCACCCTGCGCGCCCAGGATGCAGTCTTTTGTACCACAGCACCCGCTGCTGCTCTTCCTCGCGGCGCTCCGTGTCTCGTGCTCACCTTAGCCCTCTCGTAGCTGGACAGACGCGGTCGAGGCCAATGCGCTTTATACACGCCCGGCCAAGTGCTGCTCGAGCAGACCAATCGCCGCACCAGGAACCGAGCGCTAAGTAAGTATGCTTCTAGCGCAATGCCACACGGTCGCATACATGCCAAGCCTGTGACAGGCACCGTTACCAGCGCAATGGGAAGCATGTCAACAAAACATTGAGCTAGGAGAAAAATCGGTCGCGGAAGCCCCCATGAACCCGCCACTCATGGTGTAGAGTGCGATACGAGTCCACGCGTGGAAAAATGGCTCCACCTTGCAGAGCGATTCGTGGCCTCTTCTACACGCCAATATACACAGAGACTAATTGCAACTGACAACAGGCACACGGTTGACTCGAACGCCCAATCACCCATGCTCTCTCTCTCTCTCTCTCTCTCTCTCTCTCTCTCTCTCTCTCTCTCTCTCTCTCTCTCTCTCTCTCTCCAACCTCCAGCATGTGGCCTGGTACTTGTCTGCTGCAGTCGTATGTCTGTCATCCACCTCCCTCAAACGCAAGCGAACCTCTGTCTACCCATGCAGCATGTATGTACCTACCTCGTTTTCCCTATCTGTATCCCTGTCCTGTGGGTCCATGATAGAGAGAGAAAAAAAATTATACCTACACCTACACCTACACTGGATTGTCATGGCGCTTCGCCGTCCCGCATGCAAATCCTCTTCTCGCCATGACAACGCTTAGTACACCCTGTTCGACACATACCCTTTGTCACCCCAACCCACCACATTCTGATCATGTGCCAAGACCTCTCCAACCGCCACATCTTTGTCAACCTCTCCAAAAAAAATCTTCTTGGGGCAAAAAACATACAACAGCGGGCATTCGCCAGTGGTCACCCACCTGACTACTACATCGCCGGTCAAAGAGTTGACATGCGGGGAGCTAACGGGACCCGGTAAATTCCTTTGCCTATGGTCGTATGTGGAAGAATAGAGGTGCAAAGGGAAATATTTAGCAGTGGTTGACTTGAGACTAATGTTGGTGAGGTCATGCTAGTTCAGGTAACGTGTACATGGCACCAGTCTCATTTAGGTGCCTACCACTTAATAGTGACTCTTCTCCAGTTGTCTACATTTGGTGAATGCTATACACCTTTTTTATATAGTAACGCTGCAATGCGTGTCTTGTAAAGAAAAGGAAAGCAATTGCAGAATCTTTACTGTCGCACGTTTGGATAGGCTGGTTGGCGTCTTTGACCACCGTCCTGCTTCATGTTGGGCGAATTGAATATTTCAATAGTCATACTCTGAAGGCACTGTCAAGCCCAACGCGCATCATCAAGCGCTGCCAGGAATAACATACCAATCGAAATACCCAAGCATGGGTCCAGCTGATTGATACTCATCGCAATCACAGCCCCGAGAGTTTGGAGAAAGTGCCAAGCACAACATAGTGCTTCGATAGCACGCGACATGGCTGGCAACTAGACAGAAATAGGCGCTGCATAATTGTCATCCTCACCAACCGAGACAGAGAGAGGTGGCCAGTCTGGATAGTGCAGCACGTGTGCACCCCACTCGTCTCGCCTAGTTCGAGTGAGGGTCTTCCTGGTCATTGCAAAGTCCTTCTGTTGGTCAGTGTCGTTGACGTAATCCTGGTAGGTAACTTCCCCATGCCTCTCCCCTGTCTGAGAGTAGAGCATATGGGGGTACATGACGATCGGTGAACTTGCCGATCTTGTGCATGATGGTGTTGATTAGTCGCATGCTGAGCCAGCCCAGCAACTCCTTGAACGGTGGGAATGCGACATCAAAATGAAGGGGCTGAATAGTCACAAGCTGAGACTCGGCCTGACGTGCAGGTCGCTTACAATGACCGGATGCCATGTACCAATAGATGGCCGCAACAGTGTTTCACAGCCTCGGTTGTCGCCGTGTTTTTACACTTACCTTTTGGTATAGATGGAGTTTTGGGGGAATGGGTTCTCACCTTCTCCTACGGTAAGCCCCTATCGCGCAAGGCCTACGTAAAGTAGTGATTGGTGGTGCAGCTGACAAATGGGGATAATGCAGGCAAGCCACGGCCCAGTGATCGAGCGACATGTTGCAATTACGTGCATACGAAGAATGAGGGGGCGGGCGTGGGACGGTGTTGTTTGGAGCGAGTCAGGAGTGAGTGCGAGTGTGAGTGTGAGCGCTCTTGCTCTGGCAGTCGTGATCGCGCTAACACGGTCTTAGCGCGGCCTCACCAATCGACGTCATCGTGACTCGCGTTCTGGCGCGACTGATCCACTTTCACAAGCTTCGACGACGCGCATTTTCTCTCGCCAACCCCCGGCTGTTCACTGCCAAGTGCTGCTTGCCGCTTACAAGGATGCCTTCTGCAAGCGACACTCTTACCCTCATCAGCTCTTTGGCGCTCCGTCTGAGCATCTGGATCTTTTTGCGATGGGTGAGCTTGAGATGAAGTGACAGGTGGACCCATGCGACAACTAACTCCCGTGCAGATACCCACGACCGTTAGTAAACGTCATATAGACGGCAGCCAAAGACCCGCATGGCCATACTAACATGATACCTGACAGATTGTGCCTGCACTCGCAACCGCGCTTACGCTGGTCTACATCCCATCCTTCTTCACGAGCTTCCAGGACACGGCGCAGTACAAGATCATATCAGATGAGCTCGACATCATTGTCAAGGAGACTGTTGGTGGAAGGTGCGATGATTCGAGCGACGATGTAAAGCTCATCGATGGTGCAGACGATGGGCCATTGGAGGAGCTTGACGTTCAGGAGACTGTCGAGTATGAAGAGAGGGAGTCCAAGGTGCTGCGTACTCTGCTCACTGGACTTCCAAGCCCTTCATCTGCATTCTGGAGCTGGGTCACCTTTGGCATCAACATGGCCCTTCTTGCCATGGCTCTGGATGTTGTCTATCGCGCACCGCTGCTCCATCAATGCCATGACGCGAGCTTCGCCCGTGTCGGATACGTGTCGGAGACGAGTGCCAAAATCCTCGTACGCGAGCCGTTTGCCTTTGATGTGAGGGTTCTCTATCGCTCTGTCGACCAAGTCGAACGCTCATGGATGCACAAAACATATCCCGCAAGCAAGCCCGGTTACTGGCTCACCAATGAGACCGACTTCACAACTGTCCTGGACCTCGAGCACCTACGACCCGACCTGCCGTACGAGTACATTGTCGAGACCTCGCGCGGGAACATCACCGGTACCTTTACCACTGCCCCACAACCAGGACATATATCGCTGCTCAAAGACAACAAATACACGTTTGTCCACTCAAGCTGCATCAAACCTCGCGTACCGTACACACCGTTCCAACACCCGCTCGAGTTTCCCGGTATGAAGCACCTCGCTCGCTGGCTGCCCGAGCTGAAGCCATACTTTATGCTTTTCCTAGGCGATTTCATCTACGTCGATGTGCCACATCGCATAGGAAGCGACGCTGAGACGTACAGGCGCGAGTATCGCCAGGTGTACTCATCGCCATCTTGGCCAGCGGTCAGCAACAGTCTCCCCTGGATCCACGTCATTGACGACCACGAGATTCAAAACGACTGGAACAGCAACATGACGGGCGTTGCTGTCCCGGCGTACGACGCCTTCACGCACTACAACGCGGCTCCTAACCCACCTCCCCATCGAGAAGGCGTCACATACTTCTCCTTCACCCAAGGTCCAGCCGAATTCTTCCTCCTTGACACACGCCGATACCGCAGTTCTGCCACTAAGGACGCTTGGGATCCCTCAAAGACTATGCTCGGCGCCCAACAGCTATCCGACCTCGTTACTTGGATCAAAAAGGAGCCTCCGAGTGGCGTGCACTGGAAGTTTATTGTAACCGGCACGCCTTTTACCAAGAACTGGCAGTTTGGATCAGAAGACACGTGGGGTGGGCACTTGTACGAGCGCAGACGAATTCTAGAAGCTGCGTGGGATCTGTCGTCTACGCATGATATCGGCGTGGTGGTATTGAGCGGGGACCGCCATGAATTTGCCGCGACGTCGTTCCCACCGCCCAAGGACGGCAAATGGCCCATGAGTGCGACGGTGCACGAGTTCAGCACCAGCCCGTTGAGCATGTTCTACCTTCCGTTCCGCACGTACAAGGAGATTGACGACGAGGATGTGTGCTTGAAGTATCTTCCTGACGGCAACAGCAAGTTTGGGGCCGTGGAGATTACGACACCCGAGCATGGGGAGCAGAGTTTCGTCACGTATCGGCTGTTCATTGATGGAAACGAAGCCTGGACACACGTGGTGAATACGCCTCCGGGGAGAGCAGGAAGTAACAGGGCGAAGGATGCGGTGTGGGGATGAATGGGGAGAGGATTGGACATGCTTCTAATAGATTGTGTGAGCGTTGATAAATTTCGGTGTATGTTTTAGTAATATGGGTTGCAAGCCGAGGATTCGGGTTGATAGCTGAATGCAATTGTACATGTTCATTCCAGCCTTGCAACCAGCCGGGGGTATCTTTTCTTGGTTGGGATATACTCTTCACCCCCACTTCCTGCTGGCCTTTTCTTCATCGTCCTTGGTCCACTGCCTGGGCAGGACTGCAAAGACAAGATACGACGTATGTGTCTTGAGCTCCGGCTCGGTGCGATGCACCAGCCGCCCCTCCTTGTACAAGGTTCTACTCTCCAGGTCCTTCTTCGTCTGCGCCAGCCTATCGTGTTTACTCGGCGGCACACCCTCCATCTTCTTTTTCTGCTTCTTGGGGCCCGCCTCGTCTGCATCCACGTCTTCGCCTCTCTTCCTCGCCTCAGCCTTGCGAATGACCTCCTCCTGCTTCTCGCGCTGCATGCTGTGGAAGACTGCCGCACGACCTTCCACGTCGCGTAGGCGCTGCACGGCTTCCTGGACATTGGCTGGATGCGCATTCCCGCCTCTTACGCCTTCCTCCTGCAGACCGACGCGCTCGCGGCGCACGTCGAGCCGCTTGGCAATAATCTCAACCATGTCGATTTCGAGCCAGCCGAGGGTGCGCAGCGCAGATACCGTCTTGGTTACTTGTTCGATGCAGGGGCTAAAGGTACAGATGCGGACTGCATTGCGGGGGTTGAGCGGGGAGCGAAAGGGCTTCGAAGGCGTTTCTGAGGTAGCAGCCGTGGGAACAGGAGTAGCGTCGTTCTCGGTAGGCGTAGAAGGGTCAGTATTGACGGATTTCAAGGCGGCAGTCGAGGGCGGGGAGCGCGTGAGGTGCTTGAGTGCGTGCCATGGGGCGGGTAGATCGAGGAATATGCAGTCGGCGTCTGGGCCGTTTGACTCGTCCAGGCCAAAGCCGTGGTTGTAGACGTCGCGATGGGTCACAGTGACGAGAGGGTCGAGGCCGTGGTCTTTGATCTCGGCTTGAAGCTGCTTTGCGCGTGGTTCGTGGTACTCGAAACTGTACACGCCGCCGGTCCTCGTCTTGCGCTTCCGCTTCTTGGTCATGCCTACGGCGTTGTCCTCATGGCCGTTTGCGTCGAGCACAGAGTCTCGCTCTCCCGGGTAGCCATTGTAGACTGAGCGTATCGCAGCATGTGTAAAGCTTCCACTCCCTGCACCAGCCTCGATAATGTGGTCGCCTGGCCTTGCGCGCAGCCTCTGGAGAATGTAGCTGTAGTCGGGCGTATAGACAACCTGTGTGCGGTGCGGTAAAGACAGCGTCCACACCTCTGGCGTGGGCGGTATGAGGTGCGCAAACCCACTGCTCGCGGCGGCAGCCTTTACAATATCCTTCTTCACCACCTCGGGCTCAGCAGCGGGCGTGTCGTCGCTCTCATCTTTTCCGTCTCTTTTTCTCTTCTTCGACTTGCCTCGCGACCCAGTGTCGACGACCGACGCTAGGATCTGTGTGCCCCAGGGCTGGCCAACAAGCGTGCTGTGGGGAAAAGAACCAAAGCGCGTGTTCTCAACTTTGCCCTCTGCGTAGTCGGAATCGGCGTGGGGCTTGAGGACTGCTGGAATGAGGTGGTCGCGGCGCAATTGCAAGATACCCAGATTATCGGCCGTCGCGTGCGCTCCTGGATCGAGGAACGGCGAGCGAGAAGGCGCCATTGCGGGGTGTGCCAGAGGGAGAGGCGGCGGCGGCGGCGTGGGGAGTGTGCTGCCGAGATTGCGACAGAAATGCAGAATTCGCGACAGAAGCTCCACAAGCGCGAGTGCGAGGAGAGTCGAGAGAAAGATATTCGGCGGGGAGCTTTGCAGGCTGCGATTGGCGGGGCCCGCCAAGACACCGCTGGCAGGGATGCATAGTGTCTGGCCAGAAAACCACCCACGAAACGTGACTCTTGGGGCATTCGTGTTATTATTGACTCACCCCGTAAGCCGCATCCGGAACCCATACCTGGCCTGACTGCTGCTGCTGCTGCTACTACTATTTGTCGCTCCTGGCCACCGCTCTCGTCCCGTCACCTTGATGGTACTTGCTTTCCGGTCTTTGTCCCGCACCCCACTTCGACTTCCACAGGCCAGGCTAGCATATCAGAGCCAGACAACAAAAAGGTTTGTTGCCGCCATGGCAACTCCAGCCCGCACTCAGCCCCCCTGGAAACAGCCGCAGGCATCGAGTTCCGCAAAACTAAAAGTATGGAACTCATTGACCCGATCCAAGAACGACTTTGTTCCCATCGACCCTGAAGGCAACACAGTCAAGTGGTACAGCTGCGGGCCTACCGTCTACGATGATGCTCACTTGGGCCATGCCCGCAACTATGTCACCAACGACATCCTCCGAAGGATACTGGCCCAGTACTACGGATACAACGTCAAGTTTGTTCAGAACATCACCGATGTCGACGACAAGATCATTCTGCGCGGGCGCCAACAGCATCTCCTGGCCAAGTTCAAGGCGGACAACCCAACCGTCACCGAGGAGGTCATCAACACTACCGTAAAGGCCTTTGACGCATACATCAAGAAGAACCTTCCTCTGCTGAGTGAGGATGTCACCATTGGAAACTTCAACGACGAGTCGGCGCAAAAGTACGCCAATGTCATCCAGGGCAAATCCGTCGATGGTGCTGGTCCGGCGGGTGACAAGGAGGCCAAGATCAAGATGCATCTCCGGACAGCTGGCACCGCAGCGACTTCATTGCTGGCTCCGTCAAAATCAACCCCTGAAGATATTGAACTCTTTTATGCCGGCGCCGAGGATGTCCTGCTCCCGTATCTCGACTCACTCCATGGCTCCTCCATTGACGCAAGCGACCATTCCGTCTTCACGACGCTTACCAAGAAGTACGAGGCCCGCTTCAACGAGGATATGCGCGCCCTCAATGTCCTGGATCCCGATGTTGTGACCCGAGTAACCGAATACGGCGACCAGATTGTGTCTTTCGTGGACAAGATTATCCAAAACGGCATGGCCTACAGCACGTCGGACGGATCCGTGTACTTTGACATTGAGGCCTTTGAGAAGAAGGAGGGTAATCACTATGCGCGTCTGGAACCGTGGAACAGGGGTGACACAAATCTGCAAGCTGATGGCGAAGGCGCCTTATCATCGGTGAAGACTTCGGAAAAGAAAAACGATTCAGACTTTGCCCTGTGGAAGTCAAGTAAGCCGGGTGAGCCAGCGTGGCCAAGTCCCTGGGGCCCTGGTCGGCCAGGATGGCATATCGAGTGCTCTGTCATGGCTTCAGCTGTCTTGGGCGAACAAATGGACATTCACAGTGGTGGCATTGACCTATGCTTCCCGCACCACGACAACGAACTGGCTCAGTCAGAAGCTTATTGGGCAAAAGATGGCCAACCAACCCAATGGGTAAACTACTTCCTCCACATGGGCCATCTCTCAATATCCGGCTCGAAAATGTCAAAGTCCCTGAAGAACTTTACAACCATCCGTGAGGCCTTGAGTCGCGGAGACTGGAATGCGCGAAGTCTGCGCATCATCTTCTTGCTAGGAGGTTGGCATGACGGTATCGAAATCACCCCCGACATGCGCAAGTCGGGATCATCGTGGGAGAGCTACGTCACAAACTTCTTCTACAAGGTCCGCGACCTCGAAGTTAACCCCAACATTGCCTCTACAGGCGCAGAGGATGAGAAGATCCTGAGTTCGTTCGAGTCCGCCAAGACAAAGGTACACAGTGCACTGGCTGACTCGTTCGATACCCCCACGGCGATGCGTGCGATTTCAGGGCTCATCACAGACTACAACTCTGCAGACAAGGCTGGTTTGAGTGACTCTGTGTCCTTTGATGTCGCTCGCTACATCACTCGCATGGTCCGCATATTCGGTCTAGACGGAACAGCAGACCCGTACGATGGCGGCATTGGCTGGGCAGGTATTGACATTCCCTCAGCAGCCAAGGAGCACGTATATGCAGTGTCGCGGGAACGTGACGAGGTGCGCCAACATGCCATCGCCGGCGATCTCACAGACGAAGTCCTGCAATCCATTATTGCGCAACATAACCCCACACAAAAGCAGGACGCAGAAGCACTCCCGTACGCAGAAGTGTTGTCCACTTTCCAGGAGAGTCTACAGAATCTCTCTAAGAACAAGGCACCAGCAAAGGACTACCTCGACCTCTGTGACCAGCTCCGTGACACTCACCTCTGGGATCTTGGCATCTACCTTGAAGATCGTGAAAACGCGCCTGCAATGGTCCGTCCTGTCGACGCCGAGCTCCAGGCTGCACGCACGCAAAAAGAAGAGATTGCTCGTCAAAAGGCCGAAGCAAAGCTCAAGCGCGAGCGCGAAGAAGCTGAGAAGAAGGCCAAGCTTGCTGAGCAAGCCAAGGTCAACCCAAAGGATATGTTTAGGACTGAGGAGTACAGTGCTTGGGATGAAGAGGGCCTGCCAACCAAGGACAAAGATGGCGCGGATGTACCAAAGGCGCGGACGAAGAAGCTGAAGAAGGAGTGGGAAAAGCAGAAGAAGTTGTTTGAGGAGCATGCAAAGGCTTGAGTATGGCATTGTCGGTGTAGTATAGCAGGTCTTGTAAAAGCCAATGTCGGTTTTCGAGTAGACCAACTTATAAGTTTGGCCAACGTAGGTGACATCCCCACTGTGCAACCTCAAAGTAGACAGTCATGTGTACGTGAACTGCTACAATGATGTACTCGTTCTAGTAGGACTGTGTGATGGAAAATGGTCTAGACCAACACTGAACCTTTAGTCTCGCGATGATCTGTGCCGCCGTTTTGGAAAATCATGCCCAACGCTTCCTGTGGGAGCAATAAAACCGGGGGCCACTATACCTTACCAGTGGCTGTATGTTTGGGTAGCGATGATCTCCAAGCACCTTTTCTACGCATAGGGCGCGCCAAGACCTCCAACGCACGACAAGTATACATCATCAGTGCTCATGCCCACCTCTCGATTGCAACCTCGTCTCGACTGCAAGATTGGTCAGCACCCGCATGGTCACAGCATTTGCGTGTATCTTTAGAGTTCACCGGATCATGTGGAAATGTTCCTAGTCTGGAGCTAACAATGCAGCGAGATAACCGGGTTTTAGCAGACCCTCTTGCCAACCCCCTCCCCTCCGGACTTTTATCTCCGCCAATACGAGCGACTCAACACTGGCCCATCGTGCAGATGGATCTGGAACGCCCACGACTGGCAAAAAGGATCGGATTCCGACTAGCTTCCGCGGCCGGTGGGTGGGGATGATCCACTGCGACGAAGGCAATGGGCTCACCGTCGGTTAAAACACCGAAGCATGGGATGCCCTCGACCTTTCAACAGGATTCAAACGAGCCCTTGTCGTCTTTCTTCCAGCAGCCGATGAAATTCCTCTAGACGGGACAATGGCGTCGAATCGTGATATCGAGAAGGCGGTGGTGGCGTCCCACCATGACCAAGAAGTCGATACTTTGTACACTCTGATAAAAGCTGCGTCGCGGCCAGCACCCAGACATGAGAAAGAGCCAGGAGACGACATAGTCCGCGTGCCAACACAGGCATCCCAGGTATCACGCACCAGGAAGACGGTAGTAGGGCTAGCCAAAACCATGACCTCGCGCTCAAACGCCTCCATCCTTGATCCCGGCCCACCGCCTGACGGCGGCACGAAAGCCTGGATCCAAGCCTTGTCGGGCCACCTTGTCGTCTTCAACACATGGGGCATGATTGCCACATTCGGCGTGTTCCAGCAATACTACACGCAGAAGCTCAAGCTGGAGCCGTCGGCGGTATCGTGGATCGGGAGTTTCCAGATGCTGGGCCACTTTGCCCTCGGCATGCTCACGGGACGCCTCTTCGACGCCGGATTCTTCTACTGGCTTGCTATCCCCGGCATGCTGGTTTCGGCGCTTGCAATGTTCATGACTAGCCTGTGCACGCGCTACTGGCACTTCTTCCTCGCCCAGGGCGTCCTGACGGGCGTGGGAAACGGAATGCAGTTTGCACCCGTCCTCGGCCTCGTCAGCACATACTTTGCAAAGAACAGGAGTGTCGCGCTGGCCATCATGGCGTCCGGCAGTGCTACGGGCGGCCTTGTGTATCCGACTGTCGCGCGGCAGCTCCTCCCGCGGATTGGGTTTCCATGGACAGTCCGCGTAATGGGCTTCATGATGCTGGCCGTGGGAATCTGCTACTGCATGTTGCTGCGGCCGAGACTGCCGCCTCGCAAGACGGGTCCGGTGCTGGAACTGTGTGCCTTTAACGAGATACCGTATAGTGTGTTTTTACTCGCCGTGTTTCTGATTGCGCTAGGCCAGTTCTTTGCGTTTTACTATATCTCGTCGTTTGCGGTGGATGTCATCGACTTGCCGTACGAGTCTTCCATCAACGTTTTGCTTGTGCTGAATGGGGTTGGTGTCCTTGGTCGTTTGGTGCCGTCCTGGTTTGCGGACAAGTACACGGGGCCATATAATATCCTTATTCCATTTTGCTTTGTTTCCTCTCTTGTCTTATTCTTCTGGCCGCTGGTTTCCACCGGCCCTGGCCTCTACGCATGGGCTATCTTTTACGGGTTCTTCGTCGCGGGTTTCCAGGGCATTTTCCCTGCCGTCATGACGACGCTGACAAAGGATATGAGTAAGGTTGGAACAAGAAATGGACAGGGTCTTGCGATCATCGGGTTCGGCACGTTTGTCGGCCCGCCTATTGCGGGCGCCCTGATCCAGAGATATGGCGGCGGGTACCTGAGCGCGCAGTTATTCGCTGCTACGGCGGTGTTGCTGGGAAGCTGCATATTGGTGTTGGGGAGATTGAGTATTACGGGTGTGAAGCTCAGGGTGAGAGTTTAGCATGCATGTCAGTGTGGAATCACGTGAAATTGAATCTTGGTGGTAATGAAATGAATGCTACTTCAAATTTTACACCTTGCCTTTCAATTAAGTCGTATACAGAACATTGTTGCATTAGCCATGCACGAAATCCAGATGACCTGGAATAACTTAAACCTTCCATGTATTCCGCATTGAAACAACGCAGGATATAGAGCTACGTACGAGAAGCAAACTACCGATTTGAGATGCCCGATAGATAGATATGGAGATGAGGGCCAGACTTGCTGTAGTACGCACTTGAGCAGTGGATGATTAAGTAGAAGTGACCTCACAATTCACTTTCCATCACTTCAATAAAGCCTCTTTTTTTTGTATAACTTGAATTCATTCATGCATTATGTAGAAATCATCTCCCTACAAAAGTCCCGGGCCATATCGAAGAGAAAAGGAAAATCCACACATCGCAATTTCGCATTTGATCCTCTCCCCCACCACCCTTGAGATCCGGATATGCTCCGTACATTAATGTGTATGCGCATCTTCGCATGTACATGTGGTGATGATAAAGAAGGGGGGGATCAATGAAAGAAAACCAGTACTCGTGTTGAAAAGTTGAATAGTCAATCTGTATGGTGGTGATGGTGATTGTGGTGCTGGGGTCGTGGCCGTGCAGTGTGGATGAAACCGAGCTGTTTTCTGTTTTTATTTCTTTTTTTAGGGGGTGATGGCGGGAGAACGAAGCCGTGACAAGAGGTATCTCAGATGCACCTGGATTCTCAGGCTATTAGTTCAAATGTCCAAGTCTTAGCAGTTCCAGGACGAGGTATTCGGGGACACGAACCACCCAGTGACTGGTACGTCAGAATCCATATCGCGCGGCGAGTCGCGTCCATTGATGGGCGGCCATTTGTTCATCGTGCTGTCTTTGGAGGTGTCCTTCTCCTTGTTGATATCGTCGCGCATGTCCTTGGCGAGGTCATACGCATCTTGCAGGCTGATCTTGTCGTCGAGGCCCTTGTCCTGGATCCACTTCCACACCTTCTTCATGCCTAGAGTGCCTTCAATGACCGTCTTCTCGAAACCAGACACATTGTTGCTGTCAATGGGAATGTCGATCTTGTGATTGCCGTGCTCGATCGTGGCCCAGTAGGTGACGCTGTAGGTGGTTGGCTTTGGAGTCTCGGGGGTGGGGACGGCGTGGGGCTTGCGGCTACAAAGAACGGAAGGGCCCATAGTGGCCCAGTCATCCTTAGGGCTCATAGTAGCCCAGTCATCCGTAGCGAGGGGTGGTCCGTTGGCTTGGATGGTTGGAGCCGGGGTGTTCTCAGGGTAGCCGGTTTCATTGGTATGTTTAGGTGTGGACTTGAGCGTACCTGGAGACGAACATCCACCAATAGATGGACAATAACCTAACTTTGTCTCTACAGCGTAACAGCTGTCCCAGATGCAGGAATGAGGATCGCGGGTGTTTTTACAGCCCCGAGTCTCGCAGGTATTTTGACAGCGCGGAGTAGAGCAAGTATCGTCGATGTTGTTTGCATCCTCCCAAGATGCTGCCTGGCCCCAGCAACTCTCCTCTGCAGGACGAGCATCGGGTTGAGGGACGTGAACAGACTTGGCACTCTCAAAGTGACCTTCTTTGACACCAGTCTTTTCCTTCTCTTCTTTCTCATCGATGTCCTGGAGTGGGAAGGACTTGGAGCTCGACTGCCCGTTACTGTACTTTGAAATGTGTTCTTCTATGTGAGCAAAGCCGCGAAGTATCTCGATTGCTTCGTCTTTAGTCAATTTTGGGATGTCAATATGTTTGAGCAACTGGATGTTGCTAAGCTCCGACAACCTCTCCATGACAGACTTGAGGTATGCGCTGGATGTATGGCTCTCGGTAACTGAATCTACAGTGCTAGAATCCTCGGTACTTCCGGCGTCGGATTCGTAGACATAGCTGTCATCGAGGCTTGAGAGATCAAGTCGAGCATGTGAATCGCATGAACTGCTCCGCTCCGAATCCTCGATCTCAGGCATCTTGGAAGGTATGCAGCGTACTGGCTCATTGCCCTGGAATCCACCGTTATGGTGCCGAAGCAAGGTTTGTATGCGCTCATTCATCAACATATCGGCCTTCTTGATCTCCTGCAGGCTTTCTGAAACCATCTTGCGAAACTGCTCAGCAAGCTGCTCAATGTTGTTGGGAGCAGGCTTCGTGGATCGAGATGGCCAGTCAGATCCTCTGACAATAGACTCCGGAATTGCATGCACCTCATCCTTGTTCTGCTCTGAAGAACCTCAGCCGAAAGCAGCCTGTGTCTTGCCCGTGACTGCTTTCTCTTGACCAAGCTCTTTATCCCCAGTAGATGCAGCAGGAGCAATGGGCTTCAAGAAGTTAGTATGATCCTTTGGATCATCATCAACATCCTCTAGAGTCACTGTCGGCTGGTATTTGCGCCGGGATTTCAGGATCGGCTTGCGAGTAACCACTTTCTCGCCTGTACGCTGCGCTTGATTCTCGCGCGCGTCTTCAGCTGAAGAAGCAGAGCTCGGCGGGGTATATTTCACCGCATCCGTCTCTGCCTTCTTGCCAGTGATACCTTTATCGGAACCTGATGTATCCTTCGACTTGGGTCGTGTGTAGATTGGCTTTGGCAGAGGCATCGTTGATAGTACCGTGCTGGCGGTGTTGTCGTTCTGTGTGTAGGACGGGTTGCAAAGAGTATGGTGTAGAAGTGATGAGCTCTTGATGTAGGACACGTTTTGATGTGTAAAGTGAGAGGAGCGGGGGTAGTCGAGGAAGAGGAGCAGTTGTTTCTGCGGTGTAGTGCGCGGTGAGATTGGGAACAGGCCACTCGGCTAGGATCGCTGGTGACGCAGCTTGGGGACTGATTGAAGGTGAAGGTGAGAAAGAGTTAGCGTGAGCGGTGATATGATGTAATAGGCATCTATGTGAACTCTAGTGAGTCTGTCAGATGGCAACTTTCCCTGAACAGCCCTGGATCGTTTGGTACCTTGTCTTTGACAATATTCAGTTCCTCGTTGTTCAATATGGTAGTCGAGATGGCAATCTAATGAACTCTTGCATCCAATCGCAACGCCCAATCACCCACATACTCTGCGTTGCTCTTCCTCTTACCATGATAAACCCAAGCGCGGTCCATCAGCGCAGCAACGGCCTTCTCTCTCCAACCCTATTATCCCACCAAACCCATCCCCGGCGCCCAGTCCCGTCGTCAATCTCTTCTACTTCAAACTCTCTCGGCTCCCCCCTCGTCCTTCGCCACCACCTTCCCCATCCCTCGCTTCTCCTCACCCATACGCCCCCACTCCCGTCTTCATGCACCACATAGCCGCCTTTGCGCGCCCTCGCACCCAACAGAACCAGTTGCATGCATTTGGACAGCCAGTAGAGGAAAGAAACGATAAACAGCGTACAAAAGATGGTGACTAGGGATGTCAAAAATGTGATGGTGGATACCTGGCAGCCTAAACCTGCCGTTCGCAGCTCGAAGCGCTCGCTGCGAAGCGCGCAGATGGAGTCGTGGTGGAGAGGGGAGAGAAGGGGAAAGGTTTTTGATAATGTGTCTGTGGGGAGAGGAAGACATGTCGAAGACTATTTACCACAAGTTTAGCAATGCAGCCATAGCAAGTAGCTTGCTAGGGCGTGAAGCTACACATGAAGAATGGAACGTACAATTGCACACCAACCGCAATGTCCCTTGCTCCTATGGCAATCTCCGCAATCGAGGTAGCCCCAGCATAGTCTAAGTCGCTCCCAGTCTTCCCCGGAGGCTGTTTCGAGGCGTTGTTGCACAATCTCGGTTACATTGATGGACGCGTCATGACTGCGCTTGGCAGGGGTGCCAGGGCAATTTGACGACATGATGCACTAGAACGATGCAGCACTTCAAAAAGCAAAAGAAACGTGCAAATAAGAATGCGGGTGATAGGCGAGATGGAAGGAGGGTTGGGAGAGAAGAGAGAAGGGGGACGTGCGAGGTGTGGGGTTCTGGCACCTGAGACAAGATTGGCGCTAAGTAGGGTCGCATCAGTCACATGGGGGTTTACGAAGTGCCCGTCAGCCACATTGGTTGCGTCACCTGGTAGCAAGGATAGAGTGTGCGCGGAATTGAGGCGCAACGAATGAAATATGTTGAAGTGAAGATATATACAAAAGAATGCACTGTATGTACAACATGGAAAGTCGCCGCAAACCAGGGCTCCAAAACCATCTCAGGTTACTTAGTTGGGAACACACTGGGAGTAATACTGGTTGGTGTACTGGCACCTGAATCCAGTGACACAAGTGGTAGGGCCCTTGTAGTCTTGGCCGCCGCATCTACACACAGTCAGGACATTGTCACGGCAAAAGGTACTATTATTACTCACTGTTCGTAGGCCTTGGCAACACCAGTGGTGGTGGGCTTGGCCGATGACTGAGCAGGCGTGGACGTGGGCTTGACAGTGGGGCTAGCAGTAGGTGCCGTGGTGGGTTTTCCACCGTTGCTTGCACCGAGAGCGAGGATCTTGGCTGCGGCATGCTCGGCCAACACGACAATGTAGGCTGTAGGGTTGGTGAAGATGTGGCTGTATCGAGTTAGCGTCAGATGCACAGAAAGAGACAAGGAGATACCTACCCAGGGAAGATGGAGGCGTCGACAACGTGGATGTTCTCGGTTCCGTAGACTTGGGTGTTCAAGTCAACAACAGAGCTTCCACCGCTCAGTCCGCTGTCGGTTCCGAGCTTGGCGGTACCGATCCAGTGGTTGGAGCGACGCCTAGCCGGGGTCAAAGGCAGGCTAGCAACGTATTCCTCAACTGTGGTGCCTGGGGCGGGGACCTGGAATTCGATGGCCGGGTTCTTCTTGATAGCCGTCATCAAGTTCTTGATGCCTGCAATCACGACACCGGTATCGGCATCATTCTGGAGGTATGGCGCCTTGCTGACAAAGACATTGAGAGCACCGTTGATGGAGAGCTCACCGCGCGAGGTAGAGCCGTGACCGAGGTACTGGCTGATGGTCATGGAGTGCGTGTCATTTGCGCCAGGGCCCTCAACACGAGCAGTCCACTGAAGCGAGCGGTCGATTCCATCCGATCCCTTGATGATTTCCCAAGCAAGAGGGCCGATGTTGGGGGCCGAGGTAGCAAGGATACCGGCGCGCTTGCTAAGGTACAGGTCCTTGTCAGCCTGGATGGGGGTGTCCCACGCCTTGTAAAAGTCGTAGAAGGAGACGTTGGGGTGTCTGATGACGAGATCGGTGTTGACGTGGTCGTTGAGGTTCTTTCCAACGGGAAGGTTAATCCAGTCAGACTCCTTGATCATGGTCGACCCATCGCGGGCGCTGGCCTTGACGACGTCGAGCTGGCTCTTTGGCCCAATACCACTGCGGAAGAGAACCTTGGAAGATCCAAAAGCACCACCGGAAAGGATGACACGGCCACCAGGGTTCAGGTTGACAGTACCACAGTAGCCCTTGCCACCGACACCGCTCTCGAGTTCAACACCAGTGGCCACACCACCATTGCGGATAACGCGGCGCGCCATGGTGTTGGTCCAGAGCTTGAAGTTTGACCTCTTGAGAGCACTGACCATGTAGGTGCCGAGAGGACCCTGCCTCTGTCCGTTCTCGTACATGAAAGGCGAGTGAGAGAAAGTCCTGTTCTTCTGGTTGGGCTGGTCGTTTGCGACAACGTTCTTCCAGCCACCGGCAGCAAGGGCACCAGAGAGGACGTCGTAGCCTTCCTGCTTGTAACGCTTGCCGTCCATTGAAGGAGTGTCTGTGCCAGGAATGCGCTTGAAGACACGGTCGATGGCACCCTTGACGTCAGAAGACTTCCAGCCGTTGGGGAATTGGTAGTCAAAGTCGATATCAATTGGCTTCCACCAAAGAGCAGCGTTGACAGCGGTACCACCACCGAGGACGCAACCGGCCATCTGGTCAATGTCGGTACAGGCGACACCAGCAGAGTCGGCCCAGATCTGGTTGCAGAGACCGGGGACATCGAAGCGAGTGAGGTTGTTGCTGGTGACCCAGTCAGGACCCATGGTTCCGCCAAAGCGTGCAAGAGATGGCGGGCCCTTCTCGAGCAGCAGAACGCTCTTGCCAGATTCAGAGAGCTTGTCAGCCACGGGGATACCTCCGGCGCCGCCACCAATGACAATGTAGTCGAAGGAGCCGGTAGGGGCAGGTGAGCCCTGGCACGAGACGGGCGCAGTTGGCGCGGGGGTGCTAGAAGGGGTGGTGCCAGGCGATGTTGGTGAAGGCGAAGTGCCAGCCAGCTTGGCCCAGTCAGCGTACTTTGCGTTTCTGGCGGGAGCTACCTGGGCACCAAAAAGGGACTGGCCCTTGTTGTGTTGCGCCCAGGTGCCCGCGTAGACCTTGTCGTGCTGAGCCCATCCGACCACCTGCACCTCGCCAGTGGGGAGTTGGTTGCCTGCGGCACCTTGCTGGTCCCAGACCCAGCAGTTCTTGCAAAGGTAGACAACCTCAAAGTAAGAGTCGGTGACTTTGTGGTAGATCTGGCTCAGGGTGGCGTTGCCAGTGTAGTCATCGGGCGCAATGTAGCCACTAGAGTGGTTTTAGCGAGAGAACAGAGGGTGGCTGTAGTAGAATCAAACTGACGTTGCAAAGTAGAAGCCAGTCTTGACCGTGTCCTTGTCAGGCCAGGCGACAAGCAGAAGCTTGTTAGGCATGGCACCGCCGTGACTGAAACCAGACCAACCCTGGCCGGCGGTGAGCGAACCTTTCTGGGAGGCGTTAGAACATGGGCGAGAGAATGGGGGTGCTGGGGCAGTCTTGCCATGTATCCAATGTAGTCGTAGTTGTTTCCGGTCGCGTCTGGGGGCAGAGCCATACCCCACTCAAAACCACCAGGCGTCTGGGCCGGGTCGACGACCTGGCGCCAGAACTGGATGCCAGTGGCATTGTGGACAAAGGTAGCCTGGGCATAAGCAAGGGGAGCAAAAAGAGAGGACAGCAGCGACGCTGCGCTGACAACAAAGGCGCTGTTCATGGCGAAGACCGGTTGCCCGCAAACCAAGAACAAGACGAAGGGAGTGAGCGAAAGTGAAAGCGTGCGGCTTGAATAGCCATGCCAGGGTGCCGTGCGACGATTATATACATGTTGCCTGGGAGCCAGAGGCCGCAAGAGGCGCCCGAGGGTTGGATGGCAATGGTTAAACAACCCACCACCAATAGCTATCTCACCCACCTCGAAGCTAGGGTCTGCATTAGGGGCGCGGCATCTAAACTCTATAGAGTTAGCACTATAATTAAATAACTTACCTCTATTTTGATAACTTACTAAGTAGCTAAATAATACTTATTTAGTATAAAGCGCTAGTATTAAATTTTAAGTAGGCTAAGTAGCCTTTAAGCTGTCTTAACCTACACTATTCAACGCGTAGAAATTATCAAAATATACTAAAAAGTTTATTAATTCTACTTTTTATTATATTGCTTACTACTTATAATAACTACTGTTTTATGTAATGAAACTACTTAGTAGCTAATTTACTATATAATTAAGTCTAAGTCTAATAAAAATAAGTTAGTTTAAGAGGGCGATACTAATTTTAAGTAAAAACTAAAGTTATTAAGTAACGCCTTTACTTATAAAGCTACTCCCTATAAAGCTACTTTTTATAAAGCTACTTCTTATAAGGTTATAGCCTATAAAGCTATAGCCTATAAAGCTATATAGCCTAAGCCTTTATACTATAAGTAAAATACTAAGCGTGTACTATGCTAATAAGATTATAGTAAGCTCTATAGTGTTATAAAGTGTAATATTAATAGTTTATAAAAGGCCTTACCTATTAATCATAAGTACCTACTACTACTAGAAGTTTTATATAATAGCTACATTAAAGCTTTTAATACAGTTAATAAGTAAGCTAAAGACTATAGTAGTACGTATAATCAATATAAAAGACATCGTAAGCTAGTAATTTAAGTCATAATACATTATAACTAATAGAGCTTACTACGCCTAAGTAAACAGGTAGTAAAACTAAGATTGTAGTAAGGTGCGTAATTATAGAAGATAAATTATAAGATAGAGTTTTATTTACTTATAAAGAACTTTATACAACTAAAGGGTTAATAAAAAGTTACATTATAGAAGAATCAAAAAAGCTTTACTTATAATTGTAAGAGGCTACGCCTAAAGTGTGTGTGATCGAGTATATCTATACGACTACCTAGACTTCAAGAAGCTTGAAGTCTTGTTACTGCCTTTTTGGCTATGGATGGCGTAAGTAGTCGTACGCTCGGCCCGTTGGGCCCGCCCATTACACTTCTAAAAAAGTTAAAGTAAGAAAAGTATTAGTTTTAGTAAGTCTTTATTACTAAGTTATTTTAGTATTATAAAGATTCTATCAATTCTAGCGCTTATAAACTTAAAAATAGTCTATATATATTATGTTATTAGCTTAGTTACTTATACTAGTAACTTACTACTTATCAGTAGAAAAATTAAAATATTCTAACGTGTCGCTAGGCATAGGATTGATATAGAGAACTGTATTATACACCTCTTTTTTATCTACCTATACTATCTTAAAAACTTTAAAAAGTTGCTAAATACGCTTATTATTAACTACACGTATAAGATAAATAAATACTACTTTCCTCTACTTAATTTTATTGGTTTAAATATGTATGTAAGAGGCTACGCCTAAAGTGTTTGATCGAGTATATCTATACGACTACCTGGACTTCAAGAAGCTTGAAGTCTTGGTACTGCCTTTTTGGCTATGGATGGCGTAAGTAGTCGTACGCTCGGCCCGTTGGGCCCGCCCATTACAAAGTATAACTATATAATACACCTTAGTATTATACTTATTTACTACTAAGATAAAGCTTTATTTACTTAGGTACTACGCTACCTTTAAGCTTTATTTAAGTTTAAGAAAACTACTATATAGTTATATATATAGCTAAGCAATTAAAATTAGGCTTTCTCAAACGCTCTTAAAGATATCTTTGATTAACTTATAATTATACTTTACTAGTAGCACCTTAATAAGAATTTTCTAAGCTACTTTTAGCTTAAGCTATCTACTAAATTTAGTTATAATTAGGTCAGCAATAAGTAAGTTAAAAGTAAAAGAACTACTAAGTTCTTTAACCTCTATTTCTACCTTTTTAACTTACTATTAAAAGCCAATTACAATCTTAATCTAGTAGCTTATGAGTAGTAATTAAAGGTTATCAATACTTACTTGAAGTAGTACTAGCTAAATAGTTACTATTATAAGTGGGTAAGTTATTATATTAATTACAATACCTATTTTGGCCTTACTATTACCAGTAAAGCTAAAAGTACTTATTACGTTATTAATTAATAGATAAAAGGCTCTAGTATTAAGATTTTAACTTTCTTTTAACGTCTTTATAGCTTTTATTTCTTTTATAGTATTACTAATAATCTTAATAATAACTATATAAAGTAATATTAAAATTTATCATAATACTTAAGATACTATTTTTCATATTACTAGCTGTTAACTAACCTACTATATATGTATGAAAATAGTAAAATAGGTTATAAAAGTAAAAGTAAAGTTAAAAATTTTTTATTATAAAGTTAGTTATAAGCTCTTAGCTTATACTAAGTGGTATATACTAGCGATTAAGATGCTATATTAGTATCTTCTTACTAAGCTAAAACTTAACGCTAAAGTACTCCAGGTATTAGATTTTAATCTATATTAGTAGACTAATTAATTGTAAGCTTTAGAGATTAAAGTTACTTAAATACTCTTTAAGCTAAAAGTAATTTTATAGTGAAAATAGCTTAAAAAAACTTAGAAAAAAGGCTTAAGCTAGTAGTATAAACTAAGCTTTTTTAAGCGCGTAAATACTAGTAATTAAGTAACCTTACTAGCTACTATACTAGCCTAAATAGTAACTTAGCTAATAAAGTAAATTACTATACTACTTCTACTATAGCCTTTAGCACTTAATTACTACTTCTAGGCTTAGCTATAATACTAAGTTTTAGCTAGAATAGCTGCTCTATAGCTATCCTAGTAGCCTTATATAGCTTTATTAGGCTACTAGCTAGGCTACTAGCTAAGTTACTAGCTTTTACTACTACTACTACTACTATACTACTTAGCTACTTACCCTACTTACTTAGCTACCTACCTAATTTTCTAACTACTACTTACGTATAGCTCTACTTATAGAGGCTTTATAATAAGGCTTTAAAATAGGCCTTTAAGTGCTTATTTTAGCTACATTAACTACTTAGCTATTATATAGTATTCTTATTCTTTATACTACTTACTTCTTTACTTAAATTTACTACTAAACTTAAGTAGTAAAAGGTGTAATAATAATTAAAAGCCTTATCATAGTTAGCTAAAGTAATTATTCTACTACGCTAGCTATAGCTTTTTTAGTAAGTAGCTAAGAGCTTGTTTCAGGCTAGTTTTTAGGCTATATAAAATACTAAAACTTAGGTAATATAGCTAGGTTTTAAGCATTACTTTTTTACTTCTATAATTTCTATTTTAACTATATGATACTACTTACTTATTACTTATATACTAGCTATTTTTAGGCACTTAAGATTACCACTATATAGCTATATAAGCGTAAGTAATATATAATACTACTAATGATGCAGCTAAGCGCGCTATGCAGGGGGCCCCGGCTTCGAGGTGGGTGAGATAGCTATTGGTGGTGGGTTGTTTAACCATTGCCGGGTTGGATGTGGCTGCCAATGGGCCAAGACACACTACCTGGAGGTGCTGCGTCTGGAGGCGGCCGAAGGGGCCCTTCAGCCAGGAACCGACCAGCGGAATTGGGCGTGGTGGAGCATGCCGGCGCGAGTGATTAGCGTCAGGAGCACGGCGATTGGGCGGCGCGGGCACAACGTGACCCAGGGCGAGGATGCCGGGCTAGGAGTTAATATGTGGCAATCAGGACGACATGGGGGGGTTTGATTGATGTAGATTGATGTAAAGCCGCGAGGGAGACTTATTTGCCGTGGGCGACGCTGGCGACGCCCGTTTGGGGCAGCCCCGCCAGTCGCTTAGCGCCGCATGTCCTGGCTTGGCGTGTGTCTGGCCTGCAAACCACGGCCCCTCCTTCACACCCTTCACGCCCTTCTCATCCTTCTCATCCTTCTCGAAGCCGAATGCACACGCCTTCATCCCCGTCCAAGACGCCACACCCCTCGCTGCACCGCCCGTCGTCCCGCAGGTTCCGCCATGCTGCCCCAACCCACGGGCTGTCCACGATGCGCCTGCTCCCCACGCCCAGCGGCGGATATTTACTGCCTCTGTACATACGAGTACATGCACAGAGTACATACGAGTACATGCACAGAGTACATACGATCGCGACTACTCATAGCCAGGCTCGCTGCGTGGTAGCCTGGCCCGCTCCACCACGCCGCCCACTGCCAATCTATTGTATATTGTCAGTCGCCTCGCTTCTTCTGTCGTCACTCCCAAGCCCGCTCGGCCCTTCCTTCGCCCTGCAATTAATACGGCACGTTTTTTCATCTAACCGTCGGCTCTGCGCGCCTGCATGCGCCGTGCTGCCCTGTGCACGTGCTCAAGGCGCTGCACGCGTGCATTGCATTGCGCCCACGTAACTGCTGTGCAGCTCGAATATATTGACGGACGGACAAACCATCATCTCATCTCTGCCACTTGGGCAGTGTCTTGCCAAAACTGGAGCAAACGCCCTCATTTGCCCACTGACGCCGTGTCCCCATTCGGCAAGGCTGCTATTGCACCATGGGGGTATATAGAGAGGCCTGCCGCCGCTCGGCGCCCACCACTGGTTCATGGTCTGGCCTGCTTGCAAGTCGATTCTCGTTGAGCTGATTTGGGCAAGCGGCGCCGTCCCAGGATACACCAAGGGGCGAGTGCAGGAAACAACCCTACATGCTCGTTTCAGCGGATCGACAGCTGCACGAACCGATCTGCGACAGGTATGTGCCGACCCCACTCCCTCGGGATATATGGAAATTTGAGGAACGTTTGGTGATGCCGCCTGGAACGGCCGCCAGGCTTGGCTATTTGCAACCCAGGTGCTATCTATGTCCATATCCATGTGCAGCGAGCGGAAACGCCGACAGAACCACTCTTCGCGGTCCGTCACCATCACAGTCTTTACGCGGCTGCAATCCGCGTATACTGTACCGTGCTGAGTCGGCTTACTGCTCGCTGACGTGACAGTGGCACCAGACTGGCTGCTGAGTGCCATTCGATGCTTTTGCTCTGGACAAGCAGGCAGGGCTATATGTGCCGTGTTACAGAAGATGATCGACTTTGCAAATCCGGTTGTTTGGTCTGTCTGAAACGCGCCTATTTCCCCGTCCAGCCCTAGTGACGTTCAGACAAAATTCAGAGCATGTGCGTTAGACGGCACAGTAGGACACTGTAGAAGCATGAATTCATGCGTCGTCACTGGGAACATGTGGACCACACACACAGTAATAGTACGTAGTAGCTCGCCACCGCAAAAAGCTTAGATGACAATCAATCAATCGACCCCTCAAATAAGAAGCTTCTGTTATACCCTCTTCCCGGTGCCAAACATGCCATGAACGACCAGACGTGCAACATCGTATATGCACCCCGCAAAAAGGGCATCGGCAGGTGTTGGTGTGTGGTTGGGTGTGGTTGGGTGTGTTGGCTTGGGTTGGGTCCGGAATGGGGAACATGCAGCCAGCGACTGGCCAACCCACCCATCGGTACCTTGCATCATTGGCGTTCTTCCCCACCACCACCACCACCACCACCAACGTCCGCGCCTCCGCTCCCGCTTTCCTTGCTCCACACCTGTACATCAACGACAACACGCACAAGACCATACTGCTACCCCCTTTTTTTTTTAATCTACCGACGACGGAAAGCGACCCTCGCTTCTCGACGAATAATACCATTCCATCTTCGGTACCACGGTCTAAAGCACACGCAATATGCATGACGAACGTGAGTTTCACTGCGTGTATACTTGACGCTCCCCTCTCTCGACACGGCTCCGCACGCAGCGCAGCGCTATGCGCACAAATATTCATGTTTATTCTTTGGCGCCATTCAGCCTCGTACGCAATACAGACTGCGGGAGCGATACAGTCACAGTGATGCGCCTGGGCCAGCACACAGACTAGAGGCAGACTAAGCCGACTAACCCATATATTCTCAGATCCCCATCCGCTACTCGCACAAGTCCCGCTGACCGTGTCGCCGTTCCTGTCGCTCCCCACGGCCGTCCCGCTGCCGTACAGCTACAAGCCACTTCCGTCGACGCTGCCGCCGAGCATCCTGACACCGCCGGTCACGGGGGTCTCGTCAAACGACACATCGACGCCTCCGGTGCAGCAGCAGCAGCAGCAAGATCAACAGCAGCAACAGCAACAACAACAGGTGCCGTATGTGGTGTCTGGGTCGGGGACACGCGCACATCCAGATCAGATACTGAGTTCATGTACGGCGCTACAGGAGCACTTGCGGCGGCTGGAAGAGGATGCGCGGCGGACGTTGAGCGAGTGGGAAGAGCGCAGACGGCAGGAGGATTTGGCGGAGAAGAGGAGGGTTGCGCCCGGGTGGTTGGATAGCGGGGTGCATATTCTGAGGCCCGAGGGTGTGGATGAGCAGGGCAAGGAAGGGGGAAAAGGGAAGCAACAACAAGAGAATTTGATGGATTTGGATCCTCAGGCGGAGCGAAAGGCGAAAGAGGGCGAGGAGTTGGACAGGGTCTTTGGAGGACTCAAGGTCTGAATTGCTTGCATGCTTTCTCAGCAAACAAAACGCGCCCATATCACTACCATACCATCACTACCACCACTACCACCACAACATGGACACCACAAACATGTTACACAACCAACAACAACAACAACATACTACCGTGGGCTAGAAATTACTACCAAGATTGTAAACCTATAAGCTATGACATGCCGCTTGAGCCCACGTCCAATGCCATAGTGCCTACAGCAAAAACCCCCCATCGCAACGCGACATTACACACATATGACAACCAATAAACGCAAACAGAAGGGGAATCTCGAAGGGGAAGAAGGCTGGCAACAAGTGCCCTGTCGTATCCACTCGCGCCCAAACACCATGACGCTTCCGCCACGCTTAGCGGCGGCCGTGCGAGCGGTTGATGCTGCCCTGGAGAGCATCCACCTCGCCCTCGAGACGCTTGATTTCGGCGTGGCTGGCCTCGAGGTCCTTGTTGAGGCGGTCGCGCTCGGCAATGAGCTTTTGCTCCCATTGCCTGAAGCGCTGCTCCTCCACCTTGACCTGCTCGGTGAAGCGCTTGCGGAGCGCCTCCTCCTCCTCCTTGAACTTGGGGTTGTCCAGCTTCCGCGGGCGCGCCTCGCCAAACTTCCGCGTCTCCATCTGGCCAGCACGGTACGCTTCGTAGTGGTTCTCCTCGGTCGTGTGGATCAGGTCGAGCATGTGGGTTCGGATGAGGATGGCGCGCAGCTTCTTGAAGTCGCAGTGCTCCTCGTTCTCGACCTCGGCAACGCCCCACGAGTACTGTCGGCCCTTGACGGTGCGGCCGTCGTTGGTCTGCACATCCTTCTCCGAGCCAATGACAGAGAAGGGCATGGCGTCGATGAGGCTGCGGGCGTGCTGCATGGCGGCAGCGTCGTCGTCCTCGAGCGGAGGCGTGTAGATCTTGATGCCTTGAGCATCAATCACCTGGCGCACCTGCAAACAGTCAGTATCAGTGTGCACGGCCGTTCATGCCCGACATACCCTCTGCTTGAACCTCGCAAGGTCCGTGGGGCTCAGTGTGTCGGCCTTGGCCACGACGGGAATCAGGTTGACGCGTGTGCAGAGCTTCTTCATAACCTCAATGTCGAGCGGCTTCAGCGTGTGGCCCGTCGGGCGGATGAAGTAGAGGCAGGCGTGGACACGGAGGTCGATCTTGTCAGTACGGCGCGGTTGTTGCTCCTGCAGCATGTACGACTCGTGCTGGTCGTCGAGGAACTCGATGATGGGCTGCCACGAGTCGCGGTTGTTGACGTAGTCTCCGAATCCAGGCGTGTCGATGACGGTAAGGCGGACTGGTCACGTCAGTCAGGGCCCAAAGGCATATCGTGTCACACAGTGCATACCCTTGAAGAACTTCTCCTCGAGCTCGGCCTTGGTGATTTCAATCTCGACCGTCTTGTCCATCTGCTTGTGGTGTCGTCGCTTGTGGTCGGCATAGTTCTTGATTGTCGTCGAGAAGAGCGTGTTGATGAAGGTCGTCTTTCCGAGGCCAGACTCGCCAGCCACCTAGGCCAGTCAGCGGGCGCCGTGAGGGGGATGGGCTATAGGGGGCACGGTACCATGATGGTGAAGGCAGCACCGCGCTTGGCGACAATCTTGTGCCTGTCCTACGTTAGGCTTCGACGCTGCGTGTCCGCTTGGGCGAGCATACCTCTGGTTGGGGAGCTGTGCGGCGTGTTAGCAGGCTGCTCGCGGGCGGGCGTGGGCGCAGGGGCGATACGTACATTGGCAATGCCAATTGGGGACGCGGACTCTGCCATGGTGCAGTCGGGCGTAGAGCGGCGGTGTGTATGGGGGTGTTTGCGCGGTGTGAGCGGCGGCGGTCCAATGCAAGCGTGCTGCAGTCCTGTATGGGGCAGGCGGAGGATGCGTACGGGAGTAAGCCGCGAGAACCTACGTAGGTGCAGAGTCACAGCAGCGAGGCAGAGGCAGAGGCAGAGGCAGCACAGGAGCGTGAGAGTCGTCGGGGGGGGGTGGGGAGAGAAGGCGTCGTGCTGGCGGACAATTTGGCTCCCCTTTCTGCGAGCTGCGAGTCGCTCGGGGCGGCAGGCACGGACCCTGAACGGGGAAACCGCCTAATCATGCACCTGCTCGACTAGCGCGTCTGCTGGCGGTCCGAGCTTGGAAAAAGTTCACGATGCCATCATGAAGACCCCCGCAACCCAACGCCGCCGTCTCTCTGCGCTGTGCATTGCTGCAAGATGAAGACGGACTTCCAGGTGCGCGCCGCCCAGTTTGCATCCACGCCGCACGCGCTAACACACACCAGTTCTCCAACCTGCTGGGCACGGTATACAGCAGAGGCAACCTTCTCTTCACCCCAGACGGCACTTGTCTGCTCTCGCCCGTGGGCAACCGCGTGACCGTCTTTGACCTTGTAAAGTAGGCGCAGCCAGGCGGCGGTGTATCCAGCTCATTGACGCCTTCGCAGCTCCAAATCACACACCCTCCCCTTTGCGCATCGCAAGAACATCGCCCGCCTCGCACTGAACCCGCGCGGCAACCTTTTGCTGTCCGTCGACCAAGACGGTCGCGCAGTCCTCACCAACGTCCCCCGCCGCATTGTCCTCTACCACTTTTCCCTTCGTGGCGAAGTCACGTCGCTCGCCTTTTCGCCGTCTGGCCGACACTTTGCAGTAGGCCTGGGGCGACAGATTGAAGTATGGCACACGCCTTCGACGCCCGACGTCGCCGAGGGTGACTTGGAATTTGCGCCCTTTGTGCGACACCGAATCTATACCGGACACTACAATTCGGTCCAGAGCATCGAATGGTCGAGCGACTCGCGCTTCTTCCTAAGCGCATCAAAGGACATGACGGCGCGGATATGGAGTCTCGACCAGGAAGAGGGCCACGCGCAAACCACACTGAGCGGTCACCGGCAAGACGTGGTGGGCGCATGGTTCTCCAAGGACCAGGAAACCATCTACACGGTCAGCAAAGACGGCGCCCTCTTTGTGTGGAAGTACATGCTGCGGTACGATGCGCCGGCAGACGCCGACGAGGACGACGACGAAAATCTCCAGTGGGGCATTGCCGAGCGACACTTTTTCCACCAGAACAACGCCCACGTTACCTGCGCCAGCTTCCACGCCGAGTCCAAGCTGCTCGTCACCGGCTTCTCCCACGGCCTCTTCTTCATCCACGAACTACCCGACTTTGCCCAAATCTCCAGCCTGAGCATATCGCAAAACGACATCGACTACGTGGCCATTAACAAGACGGGCGAATGGCTTGCTTTTGGCGCCTCAAAGCTTGGCCAGCTGCTCGTGTGGGAGTGGCAGTCGGAATCGTACATTCTCAAGCAGCAGGGTCACTTTGACTCGATGAACACGATTGCGTACTCGCCCGACGGCCAACGAATCATCACGGCCGCCGACGATGGAAAGATCAAGGTGTGGGATGTCAACTCTGGCTTCTGCGTCGTCACATTCACTGAGCACATGGGCGGAGTGACGGCCTGCGAGTTTGCGAAAAAAGGCAATGTCTTGTTCACAGCCAGCCTCGACGGCTCGGTCCGGGCGTGGGATCTGCATCGATACCGCAATTTCCGGACATTTACAGCGCCATCGCGACTGTCTTTTTCCTCGCTAGCCGTCGATCCGAGCGGTGCGGTTGTCTGCGCCGGCTCCATTGATTCATTCGACATCCACATCTGGTCTGTTCAGACGGGTCAGCTCCTGGATCGGTTATCCGGTCATGAAGGCCCTGTATCGTCACTATCCTTTTCGCCAGATGCAGGCACGCTGGTGAGTGGAAGCTGGGACAGGACTGTTCGCCTGTGGAACATCTTCGCTCGCACCCAGACAAGTGAGCCCCTACAGCTCATGGCCGACATCCTCTGCGTAGCCTTCCGCCCAGACTCGAAGCAAATCGCAGTCACCACTCTTGATGGCCAGCTGACGTTCTGGAATGTATCCGATGCTGTACAAGAAAGCGGCGTCGACGCGCGACGTGATGTGTCTGGTGGTCGCAAAATGTCCGACCGACGAACGGCAGCCAATGTCGCGGGCACAAAGGCATTTACCTCGGTCAAGTACAGCGCAGATGGGACGTGTGTCTTGGCCGGTGGTAACAGCAAGTACATTTGCTTGTACGATGTCCAGTCGGGTGCGCTGCTCAAGAAGTTTACCGTCTCGGTCAATCTGTCTCTGGACGGCACACAAGAGTTTTTGAACAGCAAGCTTCTCACCGAGGCCGGACCAGAAGGCCTCATCGACGACCAGGGCGAAGCGTCGGATCTTGAGGACCGTCGGGATAACACCCTACCTGGCGCACAAAAGGGCACTGGTGCAAGGCGAACACGGCCAGAAGTGCGTGTGCCGGATGTCGCATTCTCGCCCACTGGCCGCGCATTCTGTGCTGCTTCGACTGAAGGCCTGCTCATCTACTCACTTGACAACACTTTTCAGTTTGATCCCTTTGATCTAGATATCAGCGTCACCCCAGCGACCACTCTCGACACGCTAGCGCAGAAAGACTACCTCAAAGCGCTGGTCATGGCCTTCCGATTGAATGAGCGCAACCTCATTCGACGGGTCTACGAAGCAACGCCCGTCGCTACCATTCCACTTGTAGTCAAAGATCTTCCCTCAGTTTATCTTGGTCGACTACTACGTTTCGTCGCCCACCAAGCCGACGAGTCTCCCCATCTGGAGTTCAACTTGGTATGGATAGAGTCACTGCTCAGCAAGCACGGCCGATGGATGAAAGAGCACAAGAGTGGAATGGAAGCTGAGCTGAGGAGCGTTGAGAAGGCAGTCAGGAGGATACAAGCCGAGCTCGCCAGGCTGGCAGATGACAACATCTATCGGATCGAGTACCTGCTCTCTCAGCCGATAGAAAAGAAAGAAAAGACAGCACTACTAGACTTTGGGGTCAAAGAGGTAGAAAACGGTGTTGTAGACGAAGAGATGGTGGATGGCGATAGTGATGACGGCGAGTGGCTGGGCTTTGAAGAATGATACCATTGTACGATACGACTATTTACGAGCAGCTTCTAAATATCCATCTTTGCACCTTTCCTCGGCATTGGGGGGTGCCTACTTAGTCCGCGTATGCCTGCAATACGCTACAAACTTGTCATCTGCATCAACCACACTATGCAGCCTTCCAGTGTGCAACTTTGCTCCTCCACCCTGATCACCTCCCGCTATCGCTACAGTAATACTAGCAACAAACACCCTCCATCATCACGGTGACGGTATGTCTCACATGCGAGCAGAAATCGGCTGCTGTATTCTTGGTAGATATATAATGGATTCAATAAGTTCCTACGACCCAATAAGTACATGAATGGGTAGGCTGATAGATGCATAGGGGTATCCCAAACTCGATAGAAATATTGTTCAGGTCACATGTAACGCTATCACGACCAAACCATACCCACCTTTGGGTCCTCCCTACCCATTTATCAGCTGACGTGTGCATCTCCCCTCACCAGCATCTTCAACAGGCGGTAGCCATTAGTGTTGCCCTGCAGTTGCCTGAACTGGAGACTGGGTGCCTACCTCGAGCACCTCCACACTGGCGGCTGCCCATTGGAGCTGCTTTGTGGTTGAGCAGCGACCCTGTGAAAGCGTCCCAACCTTTATATATGAGGCCACCATTACTCTTGCACTGGTGTCAAAACATATTAACCTCCGCTTTTTGCAGCATCTTTCCATCGTCGTTACAACACTCGATACTTACAACACAGATTCACTATGGATGTTCAACTACGCCCGTCTACTGATACGCTCGTGGGCTCTCCTACTATTGATAAGCCTGAAGATGCACCGCAGCCTCAAGCACCACAGCCTCAAGCACTGCAGCCTCCCACAAGGAGGAATGCCACTCGCTTTTCTCTCGAAACGCTCGTGAATTCGCTCCCCGTCGATCCAGGCAGAGCGATACCCAGGAGCCCAAAGGCTTTGTCTGAGAGTGACCTGAGTGAGGCAATCCGGGACTCCTCGCCTCTATCAACATGGCTACCATTCGACACCGCTGTCCGGGACTTTGCTCCCAAGCCGGCTGCTTCATCTTCGAAGCCGCCGGTCGTTCTACCTCGAAACAGCCAACTGACTCTCCACGTGCGTATGGCATCGACTCCCAATGCAGCTTCACGCACACAGAAATCTGGCAGCCAGTCACCCAAGCTCGAGGACCTGCCCGATCTCACAGCACTCCTTAGCCCCACAGACTCACCACTGGATCTCTCGCCCGCGCACTGTGGCAGACACCCAGTGCCGTGGACTATGCCGGACAGCAGCACGCTCCTCAAGATCCTGCATCCGTTTCTAGTGCGCAAGATCCAAGAGTCGAGCTACCACCAGGACTTCCCCGAGCGCTGCTTCTGCTCGCTGGTGCTGCACGAGCTGCAAAAGCTGTCGGCGAGTACGCCTCTAGACGTGACGGGGCCAAAGCACCACCGCCACTTGCAGATGCAGCTACGCAGCATCCTGACGGAGAACGACGTGGCGGCCAAAAAGGTACTGAGTCTATACGGCGACGCGCTCAAACTGCGGCGTCACGCGCGGCTGAATGCGCGGCCCCTGCGAATGGACAGCTGGGCCGAAATCATAGGCTTGCTGTGCGAAGACCTATTTACAAATGGGCCTCACCCCATCTTCGACGATATCGACGCCGCGCCGCAGACCACGCCCAACGCTGAACCGCGTGCGGAGCATCCGGCAGACGGGGACGAAGAGGGCGACGACGACGATGACGATGATAGTATCGTCCGTGAAGCTGGAGGCCGGCCTGTATCGCGGCGGATGCGCCGACTCCAAAAGCTAAAGTACAAGGGGTCGAAGCGCGTGTTTCGGTCGCGTAGAACGAGATGGGACTTTACGTCTTGAAACTTGCTTGTCGGTGTATGAGGGCCAAGGCCCGTGCTTGTTGAAGTGGTGGAGTGCATGATGTGAATGGCGTCTATGTTGTACATATTGATATGCGGTCTTCCTTTATTGTTTTGGAGAATAAAAAAAAGAAAATCTTCGTAAAATCAAACAACTGGGCGTGTCATTCTTCATTTCGGAGTGAGGATTTGTCCACGGAGTTTTTGTTCTATTCAATGGTCATTTTGGCAGTAAGGTGGGGTGATTTTCGCAGTATGCGCGTATTATTATTATTATTATTATTATTAACGTGGTTCATAAGCGAGTCGGCCACCCAAGCGAGTCGGCCACTTTGTACCGGCGCGTCGACGTTAACACTATAACGCGTTATGTCTCAACCACACAATTATTTGTTAATCTATTCTAAATCTAATCTTTAACTTGCTCTTTTTAACGTCTAATCGCAACGTGTTTAAAGCCAAAGACGTGCTGCTTCTATCTATAACGTGCCTCGAACTACTCTCCAAGACTAACGCGCTAGAAAGCGCTTTCGACGCGACTGCGAACCGAATTTAAAGCGCCTAAATAAGCTAGAAGAGGAGGCTATTGTTAGGCGTATTCTTAAAGAGTCTACGCGAGGATTTGCCCCTATAAAGGCTAAGGTTCAAGCAATGGCTAATAAACTATTAGAGGAGCGTGGTGGCAACCCTGTTGGCAAGAACTAGGTTAACAACTTTGTTAAGCGGACTCCTGAGCTCCGTACGCGCTGGAGCCGTCCCTATGATCACCAGCGAGCCGCCTGCGAGGATCCAGTGGCTATCTAGCGCTGGTTTGACTTAGTCTAGGCGACAAAGCAGAAGTGGGGTATTGTGGACGATGATATCTACAACTTTAACAAAACTAGCTTTATAATAGGCAAGATTTTATTACAGTTAGTTATTACAGGCTTAGAAGGATATAGGAAAAAGAAACAGGTACAGCTAGGCAACCGTGAGTGGGTTACTGTGATCTAAGGCGTGGGCGCGTTAGGTCGCCAAATACCACCCTTTGTTGTCTTTGTAGGCAAGGTGCTTATCAACGTCTAGTTTAAGAATTTGCCTGCCAACTAGGTTCTTAAAGTTAGTCCCAATGGCTAGACGAATAATTAGCTTAGTCTTGCCTAGTTAGAGCACTTTAATACCCATACAAAGAGCCCTACTGTGGGTGGGTATCGACTGCTTATTATTGACGGCCATGAGAGCCACTGCTCCATCGAATTTCAAGATCTTTGCAAGGAGAAGAATATTATTCTTCTCTGCATGCCTCCACACTCGTCTCACCTGTTGCAGCCCCTTGACGTCGCCTGCTTCTCGCCGTTGAAGCGCAAGTATGGCGACGCTGTTTCAGGCTTGGCACGCAACCGCACCCACTATATTAGCAAGGAAACCTTCCTACCAGCCTTTAAGGCTGCTTTTGAGCAGTCTATCACGAAGGAGAATATCTAAGCTAGCTTTAGAGGCGCTGGACTAGTCCCACACGACCTACAGGCTGTGCTATCTAAGCTTGATGTGGTGGTGCAGACGCTAGTACAATCACCGCGACAGGCAGCCACCTAGGAGGCGCAGACACCACGCAACGCGCGCGAGGTTGAGGCTCAAAGTACTCTTATTCAATAGAGAGTAAGAAACCGCCCTAGGTCTTCTGCAAATTCTCTTAACAAGAAGGTTGTGCAGCTAAGTAAAGGGGCTCAGCAAATAGCACATGAGATGACGCTTATAAGGGAGGAAGTAGCTGCTCTTCGAGAGGCTCTAGACACAGCAAATAAGCGTAAGAACCGCAAGCGGCGATACGTACGGACAGAAGAGACTCTTACTGTAGGCGAAGTACAAGAAGTATTAGCTAAACAGGCGGGTAGCAGTCGTGGTGATGGTGAGAGTGCGTCGAAGAGGGTGCGAGGAGAGCGGCGGTGCGGGCGTTGCAAGCAGACTGGACATAACGCTCGTACCTGCGCAGTTAAGATAGATAGTGCAAGTGATAGTAGCGATTCTAACAATTAATATAGTATATTGCAATAGTTTATTAACTATGATAAAAGACTGTGATAACGTGTTGAAGTTGACGCGACGGTACAAAGTGGCCGACTCGCTTGGGTGGCCGACTCGCTTATGAACCACGTTATTCTAGTTTAACGTCCTCTTTTAGCCCAAAGGGCTATATAAGACGTGTAGGGTTTTTAGGCCTACAAGTATCTAAGTAGGTTATTTCTAGCTATAATATTTAGGAGGGGTTTTAACTAGATAAAGGTGAGGCTCGTAGCCTATTAGTTGGTAGGTAGGGGGTAGAATAGGGTGGGGGAGGTGTATGGCTACCTGTTACAGGTTTTACTCCTCGTTTTCTGTGTTTCCTTTGTACTAGGCTTGTGTTCTAGCCTTTGTTTCTTGAATAAAGGTAATAGTTGCTTCTATACCCTCTTTTGTTTGAAAGAGGATAGGTAGTAATAGATCGCCTTCACAGGCTTCTCTTAGTCCTTTCCTTTCCTCTCTATATAGATTACATCTAAATAGAATATAAGGTAGGTCTTGTATAGACCTATAGTTGCAGGGGCAACTATTAGAATCCACTTTCCCTCTCTTATATAGGTAGTCCCTTAGGTAACAGTGCCCTAGTTTAAGTTAGTAGAAAGCGCTAGAAATCTCTCTTCTAGTATTACTAGGAATAGCGATTTGCTTTCTTATCTTCTACTTGTATTTTGCTGCGTACGTTTGTGGATTTTTGCTAGTAGCTTTTTTCCTGTACTATTTAAGTTAGCTTAGCTATTCTCTCTCTCCTAGCTACTTAATTCGCGAGCTAGTAATAGCTAGGCTAGTTTTGCTAGTAGAAGGAGGGTCTAGCTTAGTAGCTTCTTTAGCTAAGGCGTCTGCTTTTTCGTTCCTAGGGATATCTTGGTGGCCTGGTACCCAGTAAAGGCTAGGGCGTATACCTATCTCCTCTAGTTTCTTTGTTGCCTTTATACATCTAATTTGCCATTCTTGGCCTAGATTATTAGAAGTAGTCTTTAACCTAAGTAGAGTAGCTTAATTATCTGTATAGACTTTTATATCTAAACAGTTCTCTACTAGCTCTATTGCTTTTTCTAGCCTTAGAGTAATACCTTCTAGTTTACTGTTATAAACTAGTTAGTTATTTCCTATAGTATATTATTCTTAGGCTATTTGTGTTGTTCCTAGATAGAATGCAACCTCTACTCCTACACCTTTGCTTTGCTTTATAGCTAAGGCATTAGAATAGATAGATAGGAGGCTGTTATCTACTAGTTGTTCCTTGTGGTTCTTTGCTTCTATGTCTTTAGGCTCTTTAGATATATAGACCTTGTATGGGATATTTGAGTTCCAAGGTGTAAAGGCGTAATGTTGTATCTCCTCGGTGTTTCTAGCAAGGACTGTGGAGATAGATCTAGTGATCTGATCTAGTTGTTCCCCTTTATTGCTAGTTATAGCAATATTAATTGGGTAGTCTAGGGCTAGTTTTTGAGCTCTAAAGGCGTATTATTGAAGAGCGTTGTTTAACCTTACTCTAGGTGGGTAAAGGCAGGCCTCTACCTCACTAGGTATAGTTGGGGAGGTCTTAAATGTGCCTAGAATCTTCCTACACGCTCTATTTTGTAGTATTTGCCTTTGTTTAAGAGCTAGTTGTTGTTGTTTCTAGAAGATCTAACAACTATAGTCTGCTACGCTAGTGATGCAGGTAAGGTATAATTGTCTAAAGGCTCTAGGTAATAGGCCTTTATTGCTATTTGCTAGTCTGCTTAGCTAAGTAAAGGCTTAGTTCGCCTGTTAATTTCTAATAAAGTAGTAATCCTTAAACTTAAGGGCTTTATTAAAGTAGATGCCTAGCCATCTAATTTGCTGTTTTAGTTAAAAGGTCTCCTAGGTGGGTAGTGTGAGAGAATCTTGATCCTTTTTTAATCTAGTCTAATTTACTAGTTTAGTCTTTAAGCTATTAAATTTAATTGCTAGCTCCTCTGCTAGGTTAAAGAGTTTTTAGGTCTCTTTTTCTAGTAATTTAACGTTTTTCTTAATAGATGTTGTAGATGCTAATATCTATAGGTCGTCTATATAAGAAGAGGAGTAGATATTTCCATTTGTTATAATTAACTAAAATAGTGGTTTTGTGTAGATTAAAAATAGGATTAGAGAAGCGGGGCTGCCTTAGGGCGTACTAGTGTTTACCTCCTGTAGATCTTCTTCTTGGCCATCAAAGGATAGCTCTAGTAGTCTGTTTTCTAGCAAGGATTTAGTCCAGGATAGCAGGCAGCAGGGAAGTCCTTGATCCTTCATATTTTCTAGTAGCTTATTTTTAGCCACGTGATCAAAGGCTTCTTTTATGTCTAGAAATATAGTTGTAGTAGTCCTATACTTCTTTTTCTGCTGCTGTATATTATTATAGAATAGGAGAGCGGCGTCAATTGCTGATTTCTTTAATCTCCCGCCTAACTGGGTAGGGTGGAGTAAGTCTGTTGTTTCTGCTAGTGCTCCTAATCGTCTTGCAAATAGTCTTTCTAGTACTTTCCCTAGGCAGCTTAAGAGTGAGATAACTCTATATGCCTTTGGGATAGAGTAGTCTGGCTTTCCAGGTTTCTTTAGAATAACTCCTTTAGCTTTTCTCCAGCACTTTGGCTGGTAGCCAAAGTTGAATAGAGCTGAATATATCTTAAAGAGTAATTCTGGCTGTGCCTGATAGACTTTTTGGACTATATCCTGGCTGATTAAATCTGGTCCTGGCGAGTAGCTTTTACGCTTACGCAGGCGAA